GGGGGGGGGGGGAGAGAGCCCCTCCTAACAATTTTTAAAGTGGGTGGGGGATATATCATTTGTCCCCCCCCACACATGTACTTTTTTTGTCCCCGAATGAAAATTGAAGCCAAATTAAGCTCAGAAAAGCTGATTCAATGACTTCAAACTCGAACAAATAATGTTTAAAAGATGATCTTTTGCTCACAGAAATGTGTTTAAATTGTCAAAAATTGCCTCAGATAGCACCACAGATCGTCTAGAATTCAAAAAGTTTCCCGGACCCCACATAGTTAGGGCTTTGGCTTTGTGATCGCATTCTGATCAAGGTATGTCCCTTCACTTTTGAGAAGCGATTGACCCCCTTGGTGAGACATGGGAGGTGGATTTCAAAGCAGGTCTTTTGCTATTTTTTGAAAGTTTTGTATAAGACATTCCTGTATTATTCGTGATTGCATTGATAAATAAGTCAGCTGATTAAATGGATATGCATGAAATTACTATGCCATCTTTAAGATGAAAAGACGGACATGGATGGACATTCTTGAATCATTCTACTTTCATTCTTATGATTAATCCAGCTCTTGTTCCATTTATATTACTTATTCAATGTAGAATTGGTATCATTCAACACTAAAGCAACCTATTTTATTTATGAAATTGAAATGCGACTTGATACATGTTTATATAAACAAGGACACAAATTTGTGAAAAATTTCTGTCCCTGTTATGAAAATGTATGAAGTCTGGAAGATGTACATCCCTGGAGTTTAAAAATACCTACCGGTAGAGGTTTAATGTAACATTGGCCAGTGGCAATCCCTCAATGGATAGCTTTACTTAAGGAACAAATTTGGGATAATTCATGCATTTCATTTACTGCTTCCAAACACTTAAAAATGAAATGTCTGTCCATGTTATGAACGTTAAATCTTGAAGATAATCCTCTGTAATTTCTGGAATCCTGAGAAATTTATCAAACTTGTTGGTGGACAATGTTCTTACTAGGACATGGGATGTAGAAAGAGGAAAAAACATGACAGAGTACTTCATGTATCGACCTTTGTCTATGGTTCCCTCTAAATGTCACACTTTTGTTACCGTTTGTATGTGGAAAGACCCCTAGGTCTACAATCATTTACATGTATATCTATGCCCCGACTGTCTGTGATATTTAGTGATATTAGTGCATTAATAATGTTCTTAATATATCAAATTGTCAATTATGTGCTCATCTATGAAAGTCTTATTGACTTCAGTGGTGTGTTCGATATAAACTATGTCAAAGCCATTAAAATGGGAAAAAAGGCATTCATTTCGCAATAATACCCACTGTCCACTGTGCGTGCTGTGAAGATTTAGTTTTTGGGGTGGGGTGGCTTTTTTTTTCATGCTAGATACCCACTTCCTATACAAAATATCTCCAAAATGACCCAATGCATCACCTCTGAAGTGGGCGCAATCATATTCCAAAATTTTGATTTTCATCCCAATTATCACCCCCCCCCCCCCCGCTAAAATAGAGCTGTGTTTTGATTGGACTTGTGGAGTATCAAGATTTTCTGCCTTACCAGTACCATCAAATTTCTTATCAGAATAAAAAAATATAATGTGTAACAATTGTCAGGGCTAAGCAAACTTGTCTTCTGACTCAACTGACATTACTCACAGTGACTCAACCAATGTTACTCATCTTGACTCAACCGACATCAACCTTCAACATTTGCTTCAAGTTATATTTCTTGTCCATTTGCAGAGTAACTCGTTCCCTGAGCGCGGCTCCATCTTTGATTACTACTTCCACAAGCAGTCCAGTGGTTCATGGTGTGAGTGGCTTGACTACTTGGATAAAGCCAAGCTCAAGATCCCACCAGGAGCCAAAGTAAGCACCGTCACCAGGGTTTTCCTTAATTTTGTTTTCTTTCTAACTGGCGGGACTAATCTTTGAGCCTTTTAATAAACTTTTTCATTTATACGTCTTAATATGCATGCAAACAACTATTAGTAAATACCTAAGACAGTTTACCTATTTCATTGGTTGAGAGCCTGTCACGTGGGTGGTTCTAAACCGCTGTTTAAACATCACTCAGTGTTTAAACAGCAATGTCTACTAGTCGCGATCACCTGCGCTCAGTGCCACATACACGCGCAGTAAGCAGCGTAAAATGGTAGAACAAAAATTGTAAGAAGGTTGTCAACTTTTTAACGTTTTAATGTTTTTTCACCATAAAAGTAATTATGAATGGGGATAATAGTCTGATGGACTGAGTAGTTATAAACTTGTGGTTTAAAACCGATAATGGTCGCCGGTAATGGCTCGAGCTGGATGATGGCTGGGCCCCTAACCAATTTAAACCACACGTTTATAAGTGCTCAATTACACTATTATCCCCTTTCTAATTACCTTACTAACTACATGAAGTTTCTGAGGCATTCATGTCACTTTTATTTAATGAACCGATAAGAGGAAAATGACTGAATTCAGCACAGCATGGTTTGCTTTCTTACATGAATGAGGTCTAATAAGTATTTTATTTGTATGTTCTTGTTCTTTTTTCTAGGTGAGCGATCTGATCATTCAAACCAATGACACTGCCCGTCAGATCTATTTCTTAGATACCTACATGACACATGCCAAACCTTTGCTTTTTGTTGGACCTACTGGGACTGGCAAGTCAGCCATCACTAATGACTACCTGGTGGGATTGCCCAAAGAACAGTAAGTCTACAGCTCACATCATGTTATGGAACACTTTCAGTCTTCATCTCATTTATTTTCCATGGCAGCTTTGCCTCCATGCATAAATTGTTTTCTATAGAAATAAGTTAAGCACAAACAGAAACAGCATTCCTTGAAAGGAAAAAGTCACACAATTCCATTAACTTAAATCTGCAGCATCTTAGCTAGTTTGTTACATTATATCAGCGGTGAAATTTGTCAGGATTTATCCTGTTTTCAGGATTTAAAAAAATCCTTTTGAAATACGGAATTCCTGAGGATTTACCATACTTATAAAAGTTTATACCGAATAAAAGAAATGTGTATTTGAGGGGGTGCGTTTGGGCAAATAGAGCCATGTACTATAGACCCGACATTGCTCTGGGACCCTCGGTGACCCTCAAACCCTCTTAATGGATTTTTCATTTTCCTTCAATTTCACCCTTGTTTTGTTTGAGTTTAACACCAGCCCAGGCACCTAATCATTGTACATTAACATACACTGCAGTTTTCATTAACTGTTCAAAACTACCCCATTTTTTTATTTCAGTTACATTCCCAACAACATCAACTTCTCTGCACGGACATCAGCCAACCAGACACAGGATATCATCATGTCCAAACTGGATAGGTATGTATATCACAACGATCAATTTGCCATTTTGTATATAACTCTGTAAATTTCTGAGGCACTGTTTGAAATTTAAAAAGTGTATGAAAACAACATCCCGAAGATTCCTTCATGGAAGGATCAATACAGATTTCAGAAATGAAAAAAAAATGCCTCCACCAGTCTCAAGAAATAACAGTTAATAAGAACTGTACAAAAGATAACAAATGATGGAACTACAGTAAATTAATTGTAAATCTTGTTTTTCATGATACCAAGTTTTTCAAATTTGTGTAGCTTTCTCCAAAAATTTGACCTCCATTTGAGCTCAGACTTTCACAGTGCCATCTGTACAACAGTGACCCAGTACTATTACTCCATTGGGATCCCAAGTCAGGCGTGTACATCCTTCGGGACCTTTTCTAATCTCACAAACCATGCAGGTTTTCTTGGTTATTGGATGCAGACATACCCAAAATTTATTTTTTTAAACAAGGCATATCTGGGCCTTAACAGCTAGAAACATTATTAATTAATAGAGACTGCTGATGGCTTGTCGCCCAGATAGCAATTCCCCCAACCCTTCCATGGCTACAGCACTGTTTTACACCTGTGTTAGATATTGAATTGAATACAGTGATTCTTTTGTTTTAAGCCAATTTTTCATTACTATTTTAGACGACGTAAAGGCGTGTATGGCCCTCCTATGGGCAAGAAGTGTGTGATCTTTGTGGATGACCTCAACATGCCAGGCAAGGAGAAGTATGGTGCCCAACCTCCTATAGAGCTACTCAGACAGTGGGTGGATCATGGGCACTGGTTCGACAGAAAGGATACCTCCAAACTAGAGATGACTGATGTGGTGAGTATTCATTGGGTTCCAATGGTTCCAGTGCTCCTTCGTGTGCAGTGAACGTGGTTTAAGTTGAAATGACGTCACACTTATGAACCGGATAGATGTCACATGATAGTCACATGACTTTGACACTGGTGTTGGAAGCCTGGTCTAATAATGTTCAACAAGTGTACTACTTCTGTTCCATGTTTCACTAGTTCTCACGAGATAAGTGCTTTCAATATTAAGTCAGCAAAGTCAATTTTGAATTGTCACTTAATATGGAAATAAGTCATTCCAACATCAACTTATAAAGATCTTGTTTTTTTTTAGGTCATTATTTGTTTTTGTACAACGCCTGAATAAATCCCTGTCATCTGATTAGTGGGTTATTGATCACGTGTCATTGAATTATTCGTCCCAACCCACAGCCTGACCGCACCGCAAAAATATAAGTTCCATTCCACAGCGTTGTGTAAAACAAATAATGAATGTTTCATATTAATGCATTTGAAAGAATAATTATATTCGCTGACGGATGGAATGTTCCATTCCACTCGGCTTCACTTCATGGAATGTATCACTCCATCTGTCACCTCATGAAATTATTCTTACCATTGCACTCATAAACATTCATGTTTAGTATAATATTGTGTCACAAGTACTCGGGATGAATAATGAATAAATGCCTTTGTCACAATTTATTTATAACTAAGAATAGAAACTGATGACTAGTGATTGACTTGTCTGTACTTGACTAAAACTCTTCTCTGCATGTTTGTTTGTTTGTTTGTTTGTAGTTGCTCGTGGCAGCTATGGGACCACCAGGAGGGGGTCGGAATGACATCACTGGTCGCTTCACCAGACACATGAACATCATTGCTATTGATTCCTTTGATGATGCCACCATGACTATGATCTTCACGGCCATTGCTGATTGGCACTTTGCTCAGGGATTTGACTCAGCTTTTGTCAGACTTGGAAAGGTAACCGTTTTACTTTTAGTACTTTAAAAAAGTAACTAAATTAAAAACAAAATTGTACTGTGATCAGGCGAATTGAGATGTCTTGGGTTGCGAAGTCCATCTTTTCTCACATGTTCTCAGTGGACACTCCAGGATTATGCCTGCATGAATGATTTTTTGGGGTCATTTTTAATGATTTCTGGGCTTTAAAGTAATGGTACAAAGAATGGGTCATGTTTATTTATTTACTTCATCCTCGGCCAACAGCCAGTTATGGAGAAAAAAATTATCACAACATTAAAAAAAAATCATTGTATAAAAATTTAATTAATCATAATAAAAATAATAAATATAATAAAATCTATTTAAAAAAAAAAACTTTACTGCTATCAGTGAATGACTTAAGAGAATGCGGGAAAGGTCCTAGCATGAAATGGCCCTTCAACTTGATGTTTCAATACCAGAAACAGATGAGATTTGGTTGTATTTCCACCTCAGATCATGGTCATGGCTACGCTGGGTGTGTACAAGGCCACAGTCAGTAATTTCCTGCCCACTCCATCCAAGTCTCACTATGTCTTCAACCTGCGTGACTTTGCCCGTGTGATTCGTGGTGTCCTCCTGATCCCCAACACACACCTCAAGGAGGATGACAAAGATAAACTCATCCGTCTCTGGATTCATGAGGTCTATCGTGTCTTCTATGATCGGCTTGTGGATGACAAGGACAGGTCAGTTATCATGCTTGCTTGCATTGCTTGCATTATCATGCTTGCTTGCTTGCATTCATGGAAGTGTTGCTGTCAGGACACAAATCTCAAATCAGGCTTCATAATATCCACTGGACTGCTGGACTTAGCCCAGTAATTTAACTGCTGATCTAGTGCTTTATATGGTTTTTCACACTGTTGATCATTATTAATCCTACAATGCTTTATCAGTCTCATTTGACCCAGTAAAAGCTTTCTGTATGATGGTGTCTCCATTAACCATCAATGATGAAAGGGAATGTTCTTTACCTTTAAAGATGCATATCTTGTGCTCTTTTTCTCCTAACGAAATTCCAATTTATATGGATTGTTTTAAAAAAAAAACCTACTTTTTCCGATTTGGGGCATCTGCAGCCCTCTGAAAAAGGGCTCATTTTGTAGACAAATAACCCGCTGTGCGAGGGTCGAATTATTGTCTGGTAGACAATAATTCAAATTTTGTCGAGAAATAATTCAATAAGTAAACATCAGAGGATTTTTTTTTGTTCCATGTGTCATTCAAAAGTGAATAGCATTTATATTGCCAGGAAAATAGCAATTCAAAAAAAACATCTATTTTTCAAGTTGAAACTCAAACAGCATAGGAATGCATCTTTAGCTTTTATCAAAGAGCCTCCTTTTTTAATCTTAACTGCAAATGTGCTATAGTCTGTTGAACATACATCTAATCTTGTAGCATTTTTCAGCCTCAAGCCCTTTGTTCAGTTGGTTTGAACGAAATGATAAACTGGCTAGTTACAGCCACTAAAATGGAAACCAATGTAATAACATACATTTTATCTAGTTGCAATGCCAAAGAGTCTTTGTTTTCAAATCCTTCCTTATTTTGGTCCGTGCATTCTGTGTAAAGAGCAAATGTCTTTGTAACTTTATCAACCCTAAAAAATAACAGATTTTCAAACTGTCGGTTTTGAAGTACATAAAGAGGATCACATTGTGTTTCATTGTTCTAATTTATGTTCATATTTTTTCCTCTTTGGCAGACTGACGTTCTTTGACATAGTCAAGGAGATGACACAGTCTCATTTCAAGATGAGTGTTGATAAAGTACTGAGTCACCTGACACCGAGTGGAAAACTCATCGATGATAACATCAGGTACAGTTTGTCTTAAAATGATTACTTGGAAAATATATCCAAAAGAGACAAGACATTTGAGGTTGATGCAGAAAGCCCAGGCTTATGGTAATTTTCCCACAAAGTTGAAGCCACAACCACAGAAGATGAATTTTTGCATCAGTGTGATAAATGATCATTTGGCCCTCTACCAGCATATTATTATAACCATTGCATACTTCGACTGTCCTTAGAGCCATTGAGAAATCTGCACATGTATGCACTAGTAGGACTGGGCAGAAACCTACAATCTGCTGAATATTATAGACATCTTAAGCAGAATACCAGCTAGTTGTTAAAGTCAGCTTTCCAATTCATATCCAGAAAAACTACATCTTTGAAGTGTTGAACTGGTTTTTGAGTATATTTTGCATACGTGTGCACAAACAAGTGCACACAAACAAGTGCACACAAGCGCGTTCACATTGTCGATGGTGGACGTCCTATTGTCCCTCTTTTGTTTGTACTCTAACATAGGTTTTGTACACGACCCCATTCGCGGAGAAAGGCTGGGAATCCTGGACGATATTGTTCTCTTTTGTTCTCTGGAATTTTTTGTCCACGGTTTGAATAGATGAACACACCCACTTGTACTTTAAAATGTTTTGTATGTATGTACCTGGCACTAGCAAATTTTGCTTTTCTTGCATATTTGTACTCGTAAAACTGATTTTTTTAAAAAGTTGCCAAGTCCTTGGAAATATATCATATCCAGCCTCAGGTCAAGGAACTTCTTTTTTGTTGTTCATCACCTGTTTCTTGTGGCACAACTTATGTTTGACTTGTTATTGACTTGACTTTAGCCAACCACTATATGGATAACACTGATGATCTCTGTCTTTGTCTACAGGAGTTTGTTCTTTGGTGACTACACCAATCCTGACAGCGATCAGAAGATTTATGATGAAGTCACCAACTTGAAGGAGCTGACAAGCACCATGCAGTTTTACCTAGGAGAGTACAATCAGATCAGCAAGGCTCCTATGAGTCTAGTCATGTTCAAGTTTGCCATTGAGCATATCTCTAGAGTCAGTCGTGTCCTCAAGCAGGATAATGGACATGCTCTCTTGATCGGTAGGTTCATTCAGAAGGGATTTGACCTTTAAAATAGCCAATGTAATCCAATGTGTTAGTTTTTAGTCATCTGAACTCAAAACCCTGCAGAATGGTAGGTAGCACTGTATGGCCTGTGGAAGTGTGGCCTAGTGGTTATAGGGTTTGTGACTCATGATCAGAGGGTCAGGGTTCGAATCCAGCTGCCGGTCATATGTTGTGTCCTTGGGCAAGCCACTTCATCCCCACTTGCCTCTCTCCATCCAGGATTATAAATGGGTACCGGCATTAGCTGGGGAGTAGCCTGCGATGAACTAGCATCCCATCCAGGGGAGTAGAAATATTCTCAGTCGTTTCATGCTAAGGAAGCTAGAGATAAACACTGGGCTGATGGGCCACATTGGCTCGTGATAGACTTTACTTTTCAACTGTATGGTGTATTCACAAGTTAGGTTCGAGCAGTAGATTACACGTGTAAAAGACACAAAGTGAACACTACCATATTTCACTGAGTTTTCACAATCTCCAGCATCACTGGAAAAAAATGCACATGAACGTGCGCATATGAGGCAAATTGCACGTAGGTGTTCTTGAATAACGATAATGTTTAGCACAGAATTCATAGGACAGGTGGTTTTGGGGAGGGGAACTATTGTAAAAGTTGGTCTCCTACCTGAAGATATTGGAGTCAGTGGTCATCACTGCACTTATAAGTTATCCTAAGACTTGTTATGATCTTGCATTATACACGGGGTATTGTATTGTCATTCCCCTGCAGGTATTGGAGGCAGTGGTCGTCAGAGTGCTACTAAGCTATCTACCTTCATGGCAGACTATGAACTGTTTCAGATTGAGATCACTAAGAACTACACCAACAACGAGTGGAGGGAAGATATCAAAAAGGTAACTGACCAACCTTGGATTTGAGCTGTTATATTCTTATCTATATGTATGAAGGAGAGACAAACAATTTTTGAACTGGAAGATATTTTGTCAGAAATTAGTCATAAGACAGTAACAAGGCATCTGGTCTCAAGTCAAGAACGAGCTTTTAGAATGAGCGCCATGACAAAGGCATCCCATGTCATTGTTCATCCCTTGTTACTGGTGATGTGGCTTGTGGTTGATTTGTAACTGACTCTTATTCCTTCAGTTTGTTTGCTTTCTTGTATGAATTGTATTCATTACAGCTGACTAATGTATTCAATCAATATTGATTTGCCCTAATGTATGAATTCAACATTCTCACCAGTAGAATGGGTGAATACCAATGGATCAGTAATAACATCAATCTTGAGTCTGATAACAGATGGAATTTGTCTTGGACTGTACACATGAGTCACTATTGACTAGAAGAATTTAATTTGGTAATTGGTCTCGACATAGTGTTGTGGCAACAATTATCCTTTTTCTTGTTGAGTAATTATTGGACATTAACAGCACTCACCAAAGTTCACTAGCAAATGATGGAAATATTCTCCAATAAATGTCTCTGTTCTCTTTTCAGCTGCTACTGAAATCTGGTGCCGAGGGCAAACAAACGGTCTTCCTCTTCAGCGACAACCAGATCAAAGATGAGTCCTTTGTTGAAGACATCAATATGATCCTGAACACTGGCGATGTACCCAATCTGTTCCCTGCTGATGAGAAAGCTGAGGTGATTGAGAAGATGCAGCAAGTAGCTCGGATTGAGGTAAGGGTGCATTCAGGTTTGAGCAGTATGACCCTTTGCTGTTACAGTGGTATAGACTCTGTGCACATGTACCCCCTCAGGGGCAACAAAGAGAGCGTTGGGAAGGACCACTGAAATCACAATGGGAAAGGCACCTGAGAAATTGGTGCCGTGGCGTTCACACGAAGACGCTACAAATTTGTACACATTCATTTACGAATTGCTTTTGTGCATACCTTGTGCCATGTGCGCGTGAACCAATGGTCGGTATGTTCTTCCCAAGGATCTCTCGTAAAAGAAAGCTTCATCCACCATTCATGCACTGAGTCCAGTATAGCGTTTGCACATAGTGACAGGTGTAATCAAGTTTTCGCAATTCATTTCAAGTCAGCACTAATCAATCACGAGTCTATCATAAGTCATCCAGTCTCAAGACAAGTCACAAGCTTATCTAAAGAATCTTGACGAAGGCATTATCGTTGACTTTAGTCGTTCCCTGTTACTTGTGATCTGACTCATGATTTGACTTGTGATTGACTCAATAATACTTTGCATCCTACATTCCTGGACGTAAATTAGGTGCATTGCAGGCAATGTGCTTTGTGTATGGCTCATAAAAAGACAGCAGACAGGGTTCACAGCTACTCTGGAAGCTCAGGGAATTAGGGGAACCCCATAAATCAGGGAAAACCCTGGGAATGTGACAGTGGCCCCGAAAGGAAAGGTTTCCACTAGTTTAGTCTATGTGTGTCTTGTGCCATGTGTCCAAGTTGTGTCCATTGACTGACTGAAAGGATGGCTATAGGGGGAGAATGGAGGCCATCGCTTGTTAATAAGTTGCCCTGTGTATTGACAGTATCTAAGGGAGCACGGCGAATACCCTGACGCAGGAAAGCCTTTGAAAGGCCGAGACATGGCGAAGCTAAGCCTCAGCCCCACGGCCTTTTTAATCCCCATCCAATGACAATAGACACAGACCCTATGAATAGACGACAAGCCACTCCCCTTGCTGGCCCAGACTTGGCTGATAGATCAGCTTCCTTTTGTGTGTGAGCCAGCTGGGCGCATTCCAGTATAACAAAAGAATACCCAGCTGTCTTGTAGGGCGTCTTTGATTTTCATGGTTGACATTTGGGACTCGAGCAACCTGCCTTTATGAAATTATGTCTTTTCGAATAAATATAGTGCATGTAGCTCGGTAAAATCGGGGGGGAAACAGATCGGCGGCAGCTAGCTGGCCGCTATTCTCATCGTGTTCAAGATTTCCCTGCATGCTTGCAATATAATTGCACCGTATGGTCCGAAGTTTTCGAGAATGTGGTCTGAATTCCAGTATCCAGTGAAGCAGTTCAAAGTTAAAAAACAACAGGCCTTTCGTTTTCTGATAAAACGGAGGCCACGTCTGAATAAACCCTCCACGTTTCTGTGATGTCAACTACAATCACCACCTGCCATCAATTGTGATGCCAGTACAATCATCCCTGCACAGCTAATCTGCAAACCCAACTAAGTGCCGCCCAATGCCCCAGTGACAAGATCGTCATCCAATCCTGAAGTTCAGTTTAAAAATTCTTCATTGTCATTAGTTGTTAACTTGTGTCGTCGTTCAGCACAGATGTTCTCACAGGCCTTATCCGAAAGCGCCAACTCAAAGAATTTCCTGGCCCACTTATCTCCGAAAAAGATACATTGTAATACAGATGCAAGTCGGCTGTCAATCATTGACTGGAAGCTCTTCTGAGAAGAAATTTATTTGAAAGACACTAATTATTTTACTCCTAGGAAAAAATGTATTCCTCTCTTGGTCCAAACTGTAATACAACCTGTAATTAGCCCCAAGAAAACGGGTCTAACATGTTCCAAACCAGTAACATTTATGAAGTATATTTGTTTCTCTCTCCTCGTAGAAAACTGTGTCTGAAAAAAATATTAAATAATAAAGAATAAATCCCCCAGTCTATTATTTACGGGCCCCCTCAGTACAGAGACACAGAATAAATTATATACGATTTATGTCCGGTTTTTCTTTTATCTAACAAAAACGATCTAGAGGCCTAATATACCCATGGCCATTACATTTTACAGGTCTTTAAATATCAGGAATACTCGTGTAGCATGAAAACAAATTAATAAACCCCCATCCTATTTTGTACGAACCCTTCAGAAAGGCCTTCAGAAAGCCTAGCTTTATTGTTCTGCATTCCTTGTCTCCTTCACGATAAGACTGTCCGCCCCTCAAAGAAATTTCCATGTGTTAAATCCCATTTAGTGAACAATACACCTCCAACAAAGGTCCTGAGATGGGCTGGGGCTTGGCCAGGACGGTCAGACGCCCGGCTTTAATGATTGCCAGGTTACCTTTTGTTGGATGATTTAGACACACAAAGTAAGGATTAGGTGGCCGAGAGGCCGCGGCCAAGTTCAGGCCTTTCAAAGGCTTTCCTGCGTCATTGTATTTGCCGTGCTCCCTAAGTTGCAACCACCTCTCACCTTCCCAGCAACAGTGTTAAATTGAAAATATGTCTCATGGAATTTTGAAATTTCTCTGGGAAATATATCAAGGAAAACTCAAGGAATTTAGTTTTCATAAAGTGCTGGGAACCCTGCTAGATGTCTTGTTGAAATGGACAGCAATGATTTTTCATATTTTGGCAAATGATATTGATTTTTCTGACAGTAACTTTTAAATCCTCACATCCTTATTTGAAACCAACAGGGCAGGAAGATTGAAGCCACTCCGCTGGCCATGTACAACTTCTTCATAGAGAAAGTCCGCAAGAACCTGCATGTGGTGTTGGCTATGAGTCCAATCGGAGACACGTTCCGTAATCGTCTCAGAATGTTCCCCTCACTCATCAACTGCTGTACTATTGACTGGTTTCAGGTGAGGACGTCTGTCACTATCAAACAGACTATGTTAAAAGTGGAACTACTGTTTTTGTCTGTGATATCGTACTGTATTCCATACTTACACATAGCTTATAAAACAACTCAGAACTCTTTTGAGTATTCCCATATTAGGAACATTTCAAAACTGAAACAGTCGTGCTTGTATTTCAAATATTGAAAACTGAAACAGCCAATCCGATGGGCATTCTGACCAGCAGTTGCAGATGGGACCACATGACATGGTATTGGTGCTCTCAGCTGAAACACTGTGTGTGTCAGGTTATCTGGAGATTGGAGAGTTTGCTATGTGGGTACTATGTTAAATGTACAAATGGATGTTTACATATTGTGTGTTGACATCATGCTCTTTTCTAACTTTATCCCAGAGGTGTTTGCTGTAAGAAGAGCAAGGTACATTGCTCACACTAGAACACTATTTTGCACATTTTTTACACTAGAGGACCATCGTATGCAAAGAGTATTGAGTTGTGGCCAAAAAAACTCCAGTCTGTTTACTTGGAATTTCAAGCAATGTCAAGTTTAATTATGTGCTATATAGATCTTGAGTCCCTCTACTGTGCAAAATATTACCAACAATTTGCTGTTGTTGACCTTTTGCCATGTGGCTTGTTTGTAGCCCTGGCCTGAAGATGCCCTTGAGATGGTTGCCAACACATTCCTGGAGGAAATTGAAGACATGGATGATAATGTACGCAAAGAATGTGTCTTCATGTGCAAACACTTCCATGAGAGCGTACGCAAACTCTCAGAATCGTAAGTCAATTACACAGTTGCAGGTTTCACATCTATTCATTCATAGACATAGTGAATTGTTTACCTTGTAAAACTGTATTATCCAGATTCTACCATTGAGGATCCAGTAAGGCATTCAAGTCTGCAGTTATGCAGACTTGAAGTCAAGTTTTCACAAAAATTCATACGTCAATCTTAAGGCAATCACCAGCAATCATGATTCAAGTCAAGTAGCAAACTATTCAAATGAACCATGACAAACCTGCCTTTGTCACTATTAATCATCCCCTTCGACCTGACTTGTGATTTACTTTGGATGTGAATTATGATTGACTTGTGATGGAATTAACTGCAATTTTGCTCAGAGGCATTGTAATAGCATTCAGCCTGATTATTTGGGCAGATTTCTGGACCAGTTGCGTCGCCACAACTACGTGACTCCAACCTCCTACCTAGAGCTGATCCTGACCTTTAAGAAGCTACTGAACCTGAAGCGGGCTGAGATTCTGATGCTCAAGAATCGCTACCTGGGCGGTTTAGAGAAACTAGCCTTTGCCTCCTCCCAGGTAGCTGTCATGCAGGAGGAGCTGACGGCGTTGCAGCCTGAGCTGATCAAGACCTCCAAGGAGACGGAGATATTGATGGAAAAGATTGAGCAGGATACCGTGGAAGTAGAAGCACAGAAGGAGGTCAGTCATCCTATCAATCATTAGTGTCCAATTGTCTGACATCAAAGTACCATGTGACCATCTGGGTTCCCAGTGATCGGCCAGCGTTTGGTTAGCAACCATGTTGTGTGTTGTAAACAAAACAGTAGGGCTTACTTTCACGTAAAAAAACCCAGATTCTTTAATGGCATAATGGTCACTACCAGTGCCGTGTACAGTTGTTATAATCGTGTCGACCCAGTACTGGGTGTTGACTCAGCATTTTTCTCATAGTTTTTGCCATTCATCACAGCTTTGAAGTCTTACCTACTACCTAGTGCGCCCGGCGCTATTCATCTTTGCCTACTACATTTGTGAAACTGACTTTCTGCTTTCCAGATGTAGGCTGGGTACGTGGATCAGTGAGAGAGGCCTATAATGGCTTGTTTATAGTTGGTCACATGATCCAGGGACTGAAATAAGGACATGCAATCGTCTTCTACACAGTGTGTAGTTGCCACTGAAGTTTCAGTGACTAGTCACTGAAGGTTGACATTCACTACAGTGTTAAGATAATCTAACTTTGACTTTGTCCCTGACTTCACATTTCATCATTAGACCAATTAAAATGCCTGATTGGTTAGAAACTAAGTTGACAATATAGTTTTGAGCATATTGACGACCTTGTTTTTGTAAAGCAGTTGCTCTCTAAAATGATAATAGAAATAGAACCCCATTTAAAACTATTCCACAAAAATTCAAGTGCTCATTCGTGTATGCAAATTTCTAATTTATACCTAATGCTAGAGGGTGCAACACGAAATTTATATATTTCATAAATTCATAAATATTATATTAATAACTTAACAAAAAGAACCCAAAACTGCAGAATAATAATCATTAAAGGGTATTTTCTTTCTCAAGTTATTGAGAAGTTTACTAAAACAGGCTACTCCTTATCAGGAGAGAGAGACATATTTAATAACTGAGAATTTGTGCAATGAAAGCTATTTTATTGTTTGCCATGTATTTCTATTTGTAGGTTGTAGCTGCTGATGAAGCTGTAGCCAATAAGGCAGCTGAAGAGGCTCAGGCTATCAAGAGTGACTGTGAGAGCGACCTAGCCGAAGCCATTCCAGCATTAGAAGCAGCCCTATCTGCTCTCAATACCCTAAAACCTAGCGATATCTCTATGGTTAAGGCAATGAAGGTAGGTATACAGTGTACTAGCCTTTTACATCTTATGGGATGAAATACCATTCATTTTGATATTTTGTAGGCAAGATCTGACTCGGATACCAACCATGGACCTTTTTGTGGATAGATCGGAAGTGTGCAGTAAAGGTATGCTGTGCGTTTCATCCTGGGACAGTTGCGCAATGAACGGGGATCTTGTGCAGCACGAAGTGTCCCATAGTGCATCATAACATACACCTTCACTGCACATTTCCGGTCTAGCCGCTATCTGTAAAAAGTGACCTTTTACAGAAAAGGTCTTTAAAAGCTCTGGGGGACTGCCTCACTCAGTTCATTAAATTTAGAGTTACAGAAACTTCAAAAACTTCCTGAATACAGCAATCATGTTCTACTTACCAGGCTTTTTAGTTTTGTTGGATTTGTTTTAAAATGTTGCTCATTTTGGGCATCACTGTAACATCTTTCCTTGATCTTGATATATTGCGTTTTTAAAACAATGTGGAGCTTGACTGCTAGACAATCTATCTTTAGGGATCATATCAGCACACAAAAACATAGCTGCTTAAGCATTATTACACCATTGTAGGAGCAAACAAAATTATTTCAATCTACTCGTTCCATTGAAAGTAGATAGTTAAGACGCTGGCACCTAATTGAAATAGCCCTTAGACATAATGATGGTACTCTCTGTTTAACGTGTGCGCTTTCCTATTGGAGCCAGGAAGGGACAAGAGCCATCAAGCTCGTAAACGGAAGCGCACTTAAACAAAGCATGACATCATTATGTTGCGGGTCTATTGTTGCACTTACTCTATATGATCAAAATATGTGTGCAGCTTAATCTTGCATTAAATATCAGAAGACTTGTTCAATTTTTTGATAATTAAAAAAAACCCATAAAAAACACAAATTGTTGAGCACAATACATCAATCCAGTAGGTATTTCAAGCTGAGATTTCTGACTATAATTACTTTGATTTCAGAACCCACCCAGTGGTGTCAAGTTAGTGATGGAGGCTATCTGTATCATGCGTAACATCAAACCAGAGCGTAAGCCAGATCCATCGGGCTCAGGCAAGATGGTGGAGGATTACTGGGGACCCTCCCAGAAACTACTGGGTGATATGAAGTTCCTGGATATCCTCAAGGCTTATGACAAGGATAACATCCCTCCTGCTGTCATCAAGAAGATCAGAGACAAGTATGTATCTATCTAACCAGGCCATACTGGAGAAAAATGCAACAACAAAAAACCCCAAACGAATGGGGGTGATTTTTTCCTGATTTTCAGATTTATTGATGTTTTTAATCTTTGATATGTATACTATATATATATGTTAAGGAAATAGTATTAAAATTGTGGAATCAAAGTGTTTTTAAGGGAAAACAAGTGGCATCTGTCATTTTAATGACTACAAAACTTGAAACTTTAATGGTCTTTTTCTCAATATTTCATTTCTTTCGATAAATGCCAACTTTAAACAGCCATAACTTGTCAACTGAATGTCTGATTGAAGTGCAACAAACAGTATTGTTTGGAGAATTTTGTTCTCATTCCTAATACCTGCAAACCCTCATTTTGGCCAGTATGTCTCATTTTACCAGAACGCCTCACATATTTCATTCAATTTTGGGGTAGAATACCTCCTTATATGGTCATAGACATTTTTGAAATGCATGAAATTGTGATTTTATTCCAATCACCTAACTTTTTGTGCTGAGGAATTAAGATACAATATTCACCATGAATTTGAAATATGTTTCAGTTGTGGCTTTTGATTGCTCATTATTTGTTGCCAGGTACATGCCTAATCCTGACTTTGTGCCGTCTGTTATTCGTAATATCTCCACCGCCTGTGAGGGTCTGTGTAAGTGGGTCCGTGCCATGGACGTCTATGACAGAGTTGCAAAGGTAGGTATTGTACAAATCAATTCAAGAATACTTTTAAAGTACCTTGAATTTTTGGCCACATTAAATATACTTGTAATATTTGTGTGAGGGACGTTTGTGCAGAAATTAAAAAAGAAGGAAAAATACCTACAATGATAATCACTTTCCTGTTCTTTACAGTATTTTTTTTCATAACATTTATGATAAAGTCACAGTATTATTAGCTGAGCTAACAATTTACAGAATAAAGGAAATCTGTCAAATTGGGTCTAGTTTCATGAGACTGTTAGGAAAAAGATATTGCTGAGCAGAGAAAGCTGGAATTTTATGACTTACAAATTGGTAAACAAAGTAAAGAGGAAATGCTATGTAGAAACAAAACTCAGCCGTTCTAAACATTACACGCTGTATTCAAACTAATGCACACAAGTAAGGTATGCTCGGAATTTCCTGGGTAACGCTGTCAATATTGCCAATTATCCACTCTGCCATGATGGCTTCATTGCGCTTGCAAGGGGCTGGCTGTATGAGGGGGGATCAATCCAAAATCTATTCTTGGACCAAAATTAGGGTTGAGAATTTGAATCAGGATTATAGAGTTGAAGTGCATAGAAAGTCCTGGTTGTTGTTTGTGTTTCAGGTGGTAGCCCCAAAGAAAGCCAAGCTAGCTGAAGCTGAGGCAGAGCTAGCTGTACAAATGGACATGTTGAACACTAAGCGTGCCCAGCTCAAGGCTGTAACAGACAAGCTACAGGCCCTGAATGATGAGCTAGATGCCATGGTAGAGAAGAAAAAAGACCTGGAGGCTAACATTGAGCTGTGCTCTCAGAAGCTGGTCCGTGCTGAGAAGCTGATCGGTGGGCTGGGTGGAGAGAGGGATCGATGGAATGAGGCAGCTGGTATGCTAGGAGAGAAGTACATTAAGATCATTGGTGATGTCTTGATCTCATCTGGTGTAGTGGCTTACCTGGGAGCTTTCACTGTGGACTTCAGGCAGGTAGGTTTCATAACAGTAATTCCCTAGTCAGTTTCAGCTACATCCTGGTAGATTTTCAAGGATTGGGGAGGGTAAGAGACAGAGAAACAAGGAAGCATTGAAATTTTCCATTGTCAACAATATATGGAAGAAATTGTGAGGAAAGTTTTGTGAGATAATCAAACTATTACACTGTTTGGCTCCTGTTCTTAGATCTGACAACTTTTCTTGAGTAATTTTGTTATTGAAGTCATTCATGAATTTAATCCTTGTAATAAAAAGTTTCTTGTCCAGCACCTGCTGAGGTCATCACAAGAATGTGTTGTTCGTATTTGAGAAATCTTATGCAAATTTCCTTTGGTTGTTTTTTTTCAGCAAGCGACAGAAGAATGGCAGAGCCTGTGTCAGGAACGATTGATACCCTGCTCAGACACCTTCTCACTGAGTGCTACCCTAGGGGAACCAGTCAAGATTAGAGCTTGGAACATAGCCGGGTTACCGGTGGACTCCTTCTCTGTGGATAATGGCATTATAACGTCCAATTCACGCCGCTGGCCTCTCATGATAGATCCACAAGGTGAAGAACACAAGGCAACAGGATTATCAAGTTTCTGGCTAACAACGTCTGTTTGTTTTTAGTAGATGAGTATTGATAAGAATGAAAAGCCCTAATGTTATATACTTTAGGCTTCCATATTACTTTTTTTATAATGTAAAACAGTCTGTACTTTTGTTGGCATAATTTTTTAAGTAAACACCTGTTGTAACATAAAACAGACATCCACAGGCAACTAATTGTTTAAACCGGCCAAGCACATATTTATTCCCTTATTAAATTCTGAAATAGTTAAGAACAATTGGTAATGAATTGTTTCTGTCCTACAGGTCAGGCCAACAAGTGGGTTAAGAACATGGAGAAAGCTAACCAAATGTCCATCATCAAGCTGTCTGACAGCAACTACGTGCGCATCTTGGAAAACGCCATCCAGTTTGGCAAGCCAGTACTGCTGGAGAACGTGGGTGAAGAGTTGGATCCATTACTGGAGCCGATATTGCTCAAACAAACATTCAAGCAACAGGGAGTTGAGGTAAGCTGCAGATTTTGAAGAAGAAAAAAATAATTTTGCAGCAAGGCCTTGCTTTTACAAACACAACTAACAATAGATAACTAATCACTGTTCATGTGCTTGCAAGTTGAAAACTAGCCAAAGAAAATTTCAATTAACTGTGTAAGGTTGAAACAAATTTGAAGTTGTGGGGAATATTCTTATATCATATTCTAAGAAGACAGATTTACACCATGTCTCAACTGAACATTTAGTAAAGTTTTACTTGAACATTAAGTAGGATTTTTAATTTTGTTTGCAAGCTTGTGAATTGTTCTCGCACGCCCTCAAACAACACTGAGTATAGTACAGTGTTTATAAAATATGTTGCCAAAGGGCAAACCCTAATACAAAATGTACACCTTCCTGACGTTAATTCAACCTTATCAAATGATTAAGTAAGTTGTCTTTGATTTGCATTAGTTCCTTTGTGTTTGAAAAATGTAACCATAATTGTGAATTTCTCCATGACAGTACCTGCGCCTGGGAGAAAACCTAATAGAGTATTCCCATGACTTCCGGTTCTACATCACCAGCACCCTCCGGAATCCACATTACCTGCCTGAGATCTCTGTCAAGGTAGGGTCAGCTGCTTCCTGTGTGTCTCTCAGACTTCCGTTAAAGCTTTGAAGATATGCCAAGTGAAATTTCCATTGATATTTACATAGCCGCCAGTATATCAGTTCATATACTTTTGTATAGGATTCTTCCTAACGGTATATACAGCATGAGGAAATTAAAATTTGGTACCACCTATCTGGTTGGGCGTTCTTGGTTTGTTCCTTTTGATTGTTCTGTTACGTGCATACCATACAAAACTTGACATAGTATTTTCTTAATAGTTTCTTTATACATACAGATTTAAGCAACATACAGATTTAACTGAACATTTAAGTTTAGGAACCAAAATGTATAGGAAGAAAGAGATATATAATTTTGAAATGGTTCAGAATTTTTTTAATGCACTATTCTTCAAAATAATTTATTATAATCAGTCACTAATATTAAAGACATGATTTTTGTTGAGGGAAGGGTTTGTCAACCAGCTAAATTGCTGTTGATGTGTGATTCTGGGTTCTGCATTATCCTGAATAGTTTTCTTGAGAGCTATATACATATTGGTGGTGTCCGTACCTTGGTTTATCTTGATTGATCTGATTAATATTCTACTGTCATGAGTACATGCACACTTCACAAGTCTTGTTCAATACTCTTTGCCATTGGCAGGTTGTCTTGCTGAACTTCATGATCACCCCGTTGGGTCTGCAGGACCAGCTCCTAGGCATCGTTGCTGCCAAGGAGAAACCTGAACTGGAGGAGAAAAAGAACCAACTCATCCTGGAGAGCGCTGCCAACAAGAAGCAGCTCAAGGAGATTGAGGATAAGATCCTAGAGGTTCTCTCCTCATCTGAGGGGAACATCCTAGAGGATGAGAGGGCTATCAAGGTGCTGTCATCATCCAAGACACTTTCTGAAGAGATCTCTGCTAAGCAGGTACGACCCAGCTTCTAAGCAGAAAACACTGCCCAGCAAACTTACTAATTCAATAATTTTTGAGATGGAACCAGGCTTACGCTCAGGTAGTATGCACGCACTCCGGGCTCCTTCAACCAATAAGGTTGACAAAGGTCCCAGGGAGTGCCTGAGTGCAGGCTCTGTCTTGGTAAAGTAATACATATACCTGGCGTGTCCGAGCATATGCATAATGTCAGCGGGTGGCTTGCAGCCACGTAATGGATGTAGTATTTGAGAAGCTGCTTGTTCTCAGCAATGGTTAGGTCCTAACCATCATAAGTACTGATACACAATTCTTATTCTTTTGAGAACGACAGCTTACCAGGCTCAACGATTTCACAGGATGTTTTATACTGTTATTTACTTACAATCAAGTGGGCTATTTCATAATATTTTAGTAGTTTTGTTTTTGAGTGCTTGCAAATGATCCTATATGCTGTTAAGAACGCCTGTGGCATGTGCACGAGCGTGGTTCCAACTAAAATATTGCTTCTAGTTTTGTTTGCTGAATTAGTCTATAGGCAGGGCAAAAATCAAGTTTGGCTAGAAACCTGTTCTTCCAAAATTCTGTGCTTACTACCACCATGAAATTGCTCCCTTAGGGTTCAGTTTCAAAAAGCTGCTAAACAAAAAAGTAACCTGGGCATAGATTGATGTTTGCCTTGGCTGAATGGTTTGCACACAACAGTCAGTTGTGTATTATCTTCACAAAAGATTCAAAAATAATGTTTAGCACAATTAATAAAACTTGATGTATTTGTGTACCTTTGTTTACATTTGTTTTTGTCTAGGAAATTGCCACAGCAACAGAGAAAGAAATTGATGAGACTAGGAACGGATACAAGCCAGTAGCGATACACTCAGCGACGCTATTCTTCTGTATCTCTGATATGGCCAACATTGAACCCATGTATCAGTACTCACTCACATGGTTCATTAACTTATACCTGCAGGTAAGACTGTCGACCCATTAGCATCTTTATTACATTGTACAGGGTGAGTCAAAAAAAGCGGAATCCAAACCCCAATAATTATATTTCATATTTAACAAAATATTTAGCACCAAAAATAATGATGACTGGAAAGCAATTCAAAAACTACTTTTGGATGAAAAAAAATTACTGAAATTGGTCAATCCGTTCAAAAAATATCACCATTTGAACACAATGACCCTAAAACCCGTCTCGTCCAAAAAATGCGATTTCAACAATCGTCGTCACAATTGTCGTCAAACATCAGCGATGAAATCTTAGTTTAAACGTTATCAATAGGCAACAAAGTCCTTTTGAAGGCCCGTCTTTTAAAAAAGTAGATTTTATAAATCATATTGTTTGCCTAACCAAGGTTGTTAATCAAAATATTGTGTGATACAGTTGGTGACAGTTGTTGAAACAAGTATTCTGTGTCATTTTCTTTGTTGTTCCAAACAATCAAAACACACAATAAATTTATTTTTTGGATGAGACAGGTTTTAGGGTCATTGCGTTTAAATGGTGATATTCTTTGAACGGATTGAGCAATTTGAGTAATTGTTTCATCTAAAACTAGCTTTTGAACTTGGCTTTCCAGTCATTATTATTTTTGGTGCTACATATTTTTTTAAATATGAAATACATTTTTCTGGGTTTGGGTTCCGCTTTTGTTTACTCACCCTGTATTACATCGTATTTATTCCCTGAGATCTTCAGAAAAACCACAAGAGTGCTCGGGCAGTTTTGAGCAGTACTGTGAGGAATGGGTGCTGCTTTTGTAGTCGTTGGTTGAACAACCTTTATTTTGTTATACATTGTATTCATTAAAACAAATATGTTATAATGAAAAGGGTATCAGTTTTAACTGTGATAAAAGTACTGTAATGAGCTTTTGTAGTCAAATCCCTCACAATTCCTCACAAGTCCATCACAAGGCCTCTAAGTCACTGTCACAATTTAGCTATTCCTTTGTAATTGTTCATCCTCCGTTGATTGTAGCCAGACCTGTGAAAAGACTTAAATCAAAAAGTTGTATTTTGTGTGGACCTGTTTCATTTACACATGCATCATTTTGTGGTGTTCCTACAGTCCATTCAGAACAGCAAGAAGTCTTCGGAACTGGAGGAGAGAATCGAAAACTTAAATGAACATTTCACTGACAGCATCTATAAGAACGTCTGCCGCTCGCTGTTTGAGAAAGACAAACTTCTCTTCTCCTTCATCTTGTGTATTGGAATCATGAAGAGCAGGTTAGTGGGCTCATGAGGTAATACATACCTGCCAACTGTTCCGATTTAGGTGGAACTGTTCCGATTTCGGAGATAAAAAGTGCCCGAAAATCGGAACGTCCCGAAAGTTGCGAGAGAAGAAATAATAAAAAAAATATAACAATTTTTTTTAAAAATTTAAAAATGCCCCGGCCCCGTCTATTGTATTGAGGGCGCTATTGCCGCTACCATAATGGTATAAAATCCGCCTCGCTCTTATGTACGACAAAAGGGACGTAAACCAGACTCAAACATCATCGAACAGGCCATGTCCGAATAGGCTGCGGCTGCAGCCGTACGTACGCGCGCACAGGCTTGTGCGATCGGCCACAACCTATAGCCGCAGCCAATAGGTGCCAATACTGAGACCCGCTACGTCATCCGTCTGGTGTACTGCCTCTCTTGCGTGCTTACTGAATTAAGCGTGGGCCAGGCACGGCGCGGTGGACGTATTGATGCCATGTTTGTTTTCCACACACGTTGTTTCTTCATAGTATTCGGTGGTTTTTCGTTGATATTTTGACCGTGCTGAGTCGCACTTTTTTTGTCAACGTTTTTGTATGAGCATCTCAACTGCAACATGGACCAGGAGGATGATACACTGAAGGAGAAAAAGCAGCGATGGAGTCAAAAATTCCGAGAGGAATATCGTGAAAAATTTAGAAATGGCAAATGTGTATTGTAACAGGCCTAGGCCCCTATGTACGTACACCCGTACAATGATGTACGAACTTTTCCAAATAAAATTGTACTTGCCACTGCTTGTACAGTGTAGCCTACATGTAAAATGTATTACTGTGACTGAATATCTACATGTGATTAACTGTGAAGCATGTAAGTCAGCAGTCATTTATTCTTAAATTGTAAAAAATTTTGATCAGCAAAAAACGGCTGGAAAATTCAGAAAATTATCCACTAAATAAGATTAGTGTCTGTTGGGTCTGCTTCTGGATATCATGTAACATTTTAGGCACATGTACATGTACATGTACTTTGTATGATTGCCCCTGGACCCAACCCATTAGTGCGCGCGCGTGCGCCTGCGCCGCTCACCGTCATGACCGTGTGTGATGCGTAGGCACCCTGTTCCTCTTTCTGACTTTTCAATGTTGGCAGGTATGGGTAATACCTTAGAACCCAACCAGCCAAATCCAATCTAACCCCACACAGACCCAACCCAACTCGGCCCAACACAGCCTAACCCAATCCAGCCCCACCCAAACCAGCCCGACCCATCCCAATCCAGCTCAGGCCAGCCCAGCCTAACCCATCCCATCCCATCCCTACCCATCCCAACCCAGTCCATCCCAACCCAATCCATCCCAACCCAATCCGGCCAAGCCAAACCCAACCCATCCCAAACCTACCTAGTCCAATAGAACCCAGCCCAACCCAACCCAGCCCAACCCAACCCAACCCAACCCAACCCAACCCAACCCAACCCAACCCAACCCATCCCGACCCAGTCCATCCCGATCCAACCCTACCCAACACAACCAACCCAACCCAACCCAACCCAACCCAACCCAACCCAACCCTACCCAACATAACCAACCCAACCCAACCCAACCCAACAACCTAACCCAACCCAACCAGCCAACCCAACCAACCCAACCCAACCCAACCCAACCCCCAACCCAACCAACCCAACCCAACCCAACCCAACCCTACCCTACCCTACCCAACCCAACCTTGCTCAGCCCAAACCAACCCAACTCTGTTCAGCCCAACCCAACACCAACAGTCCATTGCAACTAAACCCAGCCTAGCCCAGTCCAACCGAACACGAACCCAATGATTGTAAAAACCCAAAACAGCTCATTCATACAAGCAGGGCCCAATTTCACGGCGCTGGTAAGCACACAGTTTTCTGCTAACAGAGCCTACGTCTGTTTCATGGAGACCGTAAGCATAAGCACAGCAAAAGACATGCTTGCCTCAGAGGAATGGGACGTAACAATAGAAATCTCCATGCACGCGCGACCGTTAGCGCACAGACGCCGTGAAATAGTGCTTAAGGTTAGCAAATTTTTCTGCTATGCTAAACACAACTTTTCTGCTAACTGTTAAGCAGCGCCGTGAAATTGGGCCCAGGTGATTTGTCTGGTTAATCCTTTCCTATTCCTTATTGTCTGTTTTCTCAGAGGTAATGTTGATGATGAAGAGTGGAGGTTCCTTCTGACAGGCGGAGTAGCCCTGGACAATCCCCTCCCTAATCCATGTTCTGATTGGCTGAGTGACAAAGCATGGTCAGAGGTAGTACGCTCTACCAACTTGGCAAACTTGAATGGATTTAGGGAACGTAAGTAAAGCAGATACCTCAACAGAGCATTGGCAGATATTTTAGCAAATTCTAGCACCCTAGAGAAATTCCACTTTTGAATTCCTGAATTTCTAATAGAACTAAGAATTGTTTTCATATATGCATATCATAAAAGCAAAAGACCATGGTCAATAACATGCTTTTTGTCTTTTCATTGTTTCACATATGATAAATTTTAAGAGTTTTGTCTCCATTTAATCACCACCAGATTTTGAAGAGAATCATGCCACATGGAAGCAAATCTATGACTCGGCCACACCTAATGAACTGAAATACCCAGTACCCTATGATACAACCAGTGGCTTGGCACGCATGGTCATCCTGAGATGCCTCCGCCCAGACAAACTAGTCCCGGCCATCCAGGACTACATTGTGGATAACATGGGGCGGAGCTACATTGAGCCTCCAACCTTTGACCTAGCGGGGAGCTTTGCCGATTCACACTGCTGTGCCCCTCTCATCTTTGTCTTGTCTCCTGGTGCCGATCCCATGGCTGGCCTGCTCAAGTTTGCCGAAGACAAAGGGTTTGGTGGCAGTCGTATCCAGACCATCTCCCTGGGCCAGGGACAAGGGCCCATTGCTACTAAGATGATAGAGGATGCCTTGAAGGAAGGCACCTGGGTGGTCCTGCAGAACTGTCATCTAGCCTCTAGCTGGATGCCTAAACTAGAGAAGATCTGTGAGGAAGTGATCGTGCCTGAGGCTACTCATAAAGAGTTCAGGGTGTGGCTGACCAGTTATGCATCAGATGACTTCCCAGTTTCCATTCTACAGAATGGTAAGAACTTAGCTTTATATTTGACGACATCAAAACACATCAAACATTGACCCGTATAGGCACGAGTGATTATTTTGTCAACTTGTATAATCATGGACTCATTTACACATCAGTTGTCAGTGGTTGTTATATGTACCCAAGACTCATGAACCATTCAGATGAAGGAAATAGAACTGGGAAAACAGTGTGATAAGTTCCTAGATGTCAGTGATGGGCTGTTTAATAATAAATTTGCAGTTGTATGGTGGTGTGCTTTGTTGGCCAGCAAGACAAGCACAAGTCTCTACATTTCTGGCATTTCATGTAAAGTGTGAGAGGCAAATATAGAAACTGTCATCGGAAACTGTTGTTGCCTGCAACAGATGCAATTGGCAACAAAGGGCGACAGGTCAAAGTAATGATTGTAAATACCGCTACATTTAACTTACAACAAATGCGATGTGTATACAAGTATAAGGTTGTCATTGGAATATTTTTTCATCCTCGCATGTCATGTTTTATGATCAGGTGTGAAGATGACAAATGAACCACCCAAGGGATTACGTGCCAACCTGTTGCGTTCCTACCTCAATGACCCCGTATCTGACCCTGAATTCTTTGAGAGTTGTAACAAGGTGAGTAGGCCTGCCATGTCTTTGCAATTTCTTGGTTTTTTTCACAGGTTTTATTAGTTAACATGAATTTATGATTCTGTTGTTCATTTTGTTCCTGTGCACAGCCTGAGATTTGGCGGAAGCTGCTGTTTGGCCTGTGCTTCTTCCACGCTCTCATGCAAGAGAGACGTAAGTTTGGTCCGCTGGGCTGGAACATCCCCTATGAGTTCAATGAATCAGATCTCAGGATCAGCATGAAACAACTGCTGGTAAGTTCACGCAAAGACACCATAGGTTTGTGTGAAAACACAGTGTGTCCAGCCCACAAAAAGCCTTACCACTGTCATTTACTGTGTTTGCTCATTGTGGTTGTCACTGGACAACCACAGAGCTGTTCCCAAATGTTTTTGATTGTCAATTGGACAGTACAAAATGATTTAATTATTTTTCCAAATTTGTTTAACTATTAACATTTAAATTATTATCTTTAATAATAGTACTCCTGGTAAAACTGGAAGTGAAGTTCACATGACCTTTATACTCCTATATACATGACGTCATAACATGAAAACAATAAACTGCATGGTAATAATAATGCTGTATATTTATCTTTGATTGTTGCTTCATGCTACTACAAGGTGTCAACCCCATCATATTTATAATTCATAAGATATGATATAACAATAAGTGCATCAGTAAAAATGTGCTGCATAAATATGTCCGCCTGTCTGCAACAATCAGATGTAAAAAAATCAAACGGGCCTGAACCCCCTTCCCCCTGCCAAAAATTCCTGGATTTTTATGTCCCTGTACATTTATGGGCAATTCCAGCGTTACGTTATGTCTGTGGCAGAGCTTTTAAGAGCTCAGTGAATAAACCTGAATTTTTTTTTTTGTAATTGTGTATATCCATCATCTAGTAATGGTCAAGGAGAGTACAGACTGGTTTTTTTTATCATTTCTCTGAATCATTAATAAGATATGGTTAAATTGGCTCGGACATTACACTACCTGGAATTTCCCCTCAAAATTCTTTTGCCTTTTTGATTTCAAATGGGAGAGTGCAATTCAGATCCAAATGAAACTCTTCTTTAAACAAACAAAAAAAGGGAGGAAAATTAGAATATACTTTGTTCTTATGTAAAAACAAGTGCCATGTATTCACAATGATGGAAAATATGTTCTTAGTGTTACATTAGCCTGACCTCTGTACCTGATTGTTTGTCAGATGTTCCTGAATGACTATGATGATGTTCCCTTTGATGCTCTTACCTACCTGACTGGTGAATGTAACTACGGCGGCCGTGTCACTGATGATAAAGATAGACGTCTATTAACATCACTCCTGTCCAAGTTCTACAATGATAGGATACTCGTGGAAGAAAAGTTCCCGTAAGTACAGCTTTCTTTGGGGGGGGGGGTATTATTTAGGCCGAAACGAAATGATGTGTTTACTGTAACCCAACCCACCTAGAATGTCCAGTTTAGTACAAAAGACTGATGGACAAATAAATAAGTTACAATATTCAATTATTTTTCTACCCACCTTCTTGGATAAGTTTTCAGGGCGTTGCTAAAAACAGATATTTCTTTAGCCCTTATTACAGTGGTGATTCTTCATTGTAATAGCAACTGTTGAGCAGGTGCTCAGTGCTTAGGATGTGCTCTGTGGTGCCTAGAATAGATTTAAGTTCAAGGCCCAATTTCCTTGAACTACCCGGCAAAAGAAAATGTAGAAATTGTTCTTGTGAAAGCATGACGTTGCTGAGAACCAGTCACTTACAATGTAAACATTGCATAATGTCTTGGCCGGTACCTGTGTTTGCTATTTAAGCAAATGATATCTGCGCTAAGAAACTCAATGAAATGGCCCCAGGTCACACACAGTTGAAACTATTGAGGGAAAGTTACCGCGGTCTGAACCAATCTAACTTCTATGTTTCAATGTTACAGGTTTTCCGACAGCGGTGATTACTACAGTCCAATAGATGGTCCATACCAGGTCTACATTGACTACATCCGTAGTCTTCCCATCATTCCTCACCCTGAGGTGTTTGGTCTCCATGAGAACGCTGACATCACCAAGGACAACCAGGAAACACAACAGGTATGGTGTGCCTAGTAGTTACAAATCTATTCGAATTGTAATTGAATTTTGACAAAACAATTCTTCATTTAAAAAAATAATTGTTCTGGTGCTGTTCTTGAAAAAGAAATTGTTTCATGTTGTGGATTTCTAGCTTCAGCTAGCCTTGAAGTGAAGCAGTTTTTTTCTTGAAATTTAATTACTGAAACTGTTCTATTGATTCCTTTGTTGAACTGCTGATTTCTTTTATCCCTGCCAGCTATTTGAAGGCATTTTGTTGACGTTACCCCGGCAAGCAGGAGGCGGTGGTAAATCCCCTCAGGAGATCATTGAGGACTTAGCGGTTGACATTCTATCCAAACTACCCCCAGATTACAACCTGGAGTATGTAAGTACCCACACACCTCACCAAGAAACACCTTGCTATTACATTTGGCTTGCACATCATAGACAGTCCATGCCTATATGAAGGTCTGTAGACTCAAAATACTTAAAATACTACTACTTTGTGCAAATTCAGAAACAAAAACAACAAACATACTTATGCATCAATGCAGTGTGACTTGCAGTGATGTAGTACTTGTACTTGTACTTGAGTACAGTATTTGGTACCTGTACTTGTACTCATGAGAATGTACTCGTACCCACACTCGTACTCTTTACAAAGTACTCACGTGTACTTGCACTCATGGGAATGTACTCGACTACAACACTGAATGTGAGCATGTCACTAAGCACAATCTACTGTTCCTACATAGAGTTCAGACATAAATCAGTTAATTTGTTTCCCAAATGCTTTCACTTGTAGGTAATGGAGAAGTACCCAGTTGTATACACCGAGTCCATGAACACCGTCTTGCGTCAGGAACTGATTCGCTTTAATCGACTGACGTCTGTGGTCCGAAGCTCCTTACAGAACATCCAGAAAGCCATCAAGGGATTGGTGGTCATGTCATCAGAGTTGGAAGATGTGTTTGACAGCATGTTAGTGGGCAAAGTACCAGCAATGTGGGCCGCCAAGTCCTATCCCTCACTCAAGCCGTTGGGAGGATATATGATTGATCTCTTGGCTAGGTGAGTTGAATGCAAGAGTTTTGTCTATCACTATACCACCCTGTTACTTAATTGGTCCTCATATTTTATTAAACAACCATATTCAATCAGACAGCCAGTAGAGCTTAACAGTGACTTTCACTCTTAGCTCCATAATTTTCAAAGGAGTGTTATGTCATCATTTCTGAGTAATATGATAAACATCAACTATGTTGACTTGTATGTTTAATAGTTAATTAATATATTAGGTTTTGCCCTTCACCCACCATTAAGCATGTTTTTCTCTGTTTCAGAAGTCCAGTTAATTTTTACTTTCTTTGTTTTTTCCTTCCTTTGTTTGTTTTTTCCTTCCTAATAACAGACTAAAGTTCTTGCAGGACTGGATTGATCATGGAGTTCCCAAATCCTTCTGGTTATCTGGGTTCTACTTCACACAGTCCTTCCTGACGGGTAAGGATATCCTGGTATCATATTGACTGAACGGTGTGGGGAACAAATTGCATTATCAAATGGCATTCCGTCTATATTACTCTTCAAATACAATGATGGATTATCCACTGCCAATTTCATTTAGCTGCTGAACACACACACTTCACGAAAGCACAGTTTAGTTTTCAAATCTTTCTATCATGTGATGTATTGGTTACAAATGGTTCGTGACTTACAATTGCAATGTACACTAATTTGCAAAGTAAAATGTTGTGTTTCTGAAGTACCATGAAATTTAAAGATCCATTCCATGTACTATTTTCGAGTTTACCTCGAAAAATAAATGTTTTTTTTTCAATTGCTATTGTCCAAGCAATATAAAAGTTATTCCTTTTGAATGAGCCATCGAAAGAAAAAACATCCACACAAAACTTGAATTATTGGCTGCCTCTTTTTCAGAGGGTTGCAGATGCCCAAAATCAGAATGTAGTTTTTTCTTTAAAACAAAACATACAAATTGAATAGTTGTTAGAACAAAAATTATTTCTTGAAGAGCACGGGAAATACGTATTTAACTTGGCATCAAAAGTCATAAATTGTATTTTCAACCCAATTATCCAAGTCCTTCCTCTCTGCATTGCAATGTCACCACAGTGACATAGCACTAAGCATTATTCTTTGTCTTGACAGGCGTGAGTCAGAACTACGCTCGCAAGTACACCATTCCCATTGACCACCTTGGCTTTGAGTTTGAAGTGACTGAACATGAGGAGACAGTTGCAGAAAAGGCCGAGGATGGAGCGTATGTCTATGTAAGTAGCCATTAACTGCGTCTGCTGACTGCGTCTGCGCTTACTATGGCCACTATCTGCTTACAGCACTAGTATAAAAAAAATGATGTGTCAAGTGTGTAAGCACACGATCCTTAGTTGGATGTACGCCAAAATTCTTTAACACAATCAAAATCGCTTACCGTTAGCACAGAATTTTCTGGAGCAGAATTTTCTGTTACAATTAGCAAATTCTCTGCTTACGGAAAGTAGAGCCGTGATATTGGGCCCTGGCCACTCCCCCGTCTCCCGTCAACCTGCTATCTGGGGTTTATGAGTTTTGATAAGTTTTTTTCCTTTGTATTGTGTTATTAATGTTCATGCTCCTTTTTAAAATGTTAAAAATATTTTGATTTTTGTATCTTCATGAAATACGCTGTTGTTTTCCTGCCCGAGTAAGCACAACTTTTCTACTTGCTTTGGAAAAGCGCCATAAACAATGCACTCTGTCCCTTTGTGAGTTTTATGACTCAATACATCTTATTCTTCTCCCAGGGACTGTTCTTGGAAGGTGCTCGTTGGGACCGCTCACTCATGAGACTCAATGAATCAAATCCCAAGATCCTGTATGACACAATACCAGTCACATGGCTCAAGCCAGGCCGCAAAGCTGACTTCAAAACTGTCCCTACCTACACCTGCCCCGTGTACAAGACCAGTGCTAGACGAGGCACATTGTCCACTACTGGTCACTCTACCAACTTTGTCATGTTGTTGGAGCTACCGTCTGATAAACCTCAAGCCTACTGGATTAACCGTGGTGTGGCATCATTGTGCCAATTGGATGATTAGGTAGGTAAGAACACAATTAATCTGATATTGTGATTCAAGATGGTAAGCAAGAAGTCTAAGGATTGCTCAAAGATGCACTTTTCTTCTATAAATAAAGGGATATTTCAAATGCATTGGCACATGTACCTTAAGAAAGCAAATAGGTTGCTCATTTTCATTTTAAAAGTTTGCAGTGCCACCCACTTAATTCCACAATTCATGCTATCTAGACAAAGCATCTGATTGTGTGGGTAACATGTTTATTCACATTGGGCAGGCAGTTTGAGTAAAACTTTTTTAGTAATTTGGTGATTTTTTCCGCTTTTCTCTCCTTTATTCCTGCTCAGGTTTGCAGTTGACGTCTTTCATTTTGCAGCTAATTGGAGAGATGTTACGAGAATTCCAGCCTGATGCTCCATACGTTTGTTGACGTTTTGTGTTACAATTTCAATTCCAGCATTATACAGAATTTAGCCTCTTTTCCATGGTTTTCATTTCACTGTGTGTGATGTAATGAGCATAATATGTTAATAGGTGTGGACATATGATTTTTAACGATTAGATTATCCTGCCTTATACTACAGAGAGTGTGTTTATATATGTTGCATCATTTGAGAGGAAAAATCCATCACGACTTGTTTACAAATTTGACTAGATCATTTAAAAACACATTGAACAAAACGTTATCCTTTTCTTTATGTACTTTCAAACATGGCTGAAATTTATAAATATGTAGTGAACTACTTGGACCTGTAACTGTGTTTTGGTTATTTTTTTTGGGGGGGGGGGTCTCCGAAATGAAGTACTTGTAGTATATAGTTTTGATATTGGCTTGCCATGGGAGACACATTTTACAAATAAATATAGCTTGCTTAGTTTAAATATATTCTGCAGTGTGTGAAGCATTATGTATATATCTTTTGTACATAAATTGAATTGGAATTCCAAATATCCGTCCAACTTTTTAATATCAAATATCTATATTCTGAATGCTAACACAAAATAATTATAGCAAGTTGCTTGACTTCCATATTGATTCCTGTTTGTATATTGCATTTTTTTCCTGATGTGAATATCTTTCATATTCATTTTGTTTGGCAGTATGCTGTGCTTTGGTTGTGGTTTGTTTACTTATTAACATACATGTATTGATTGGAGCAGGTGCATATAATCCCATCCATATAGAAACACTAGGATGATAATGCAAATAGTATAATACTATATAACAATTAGTCAAAGTGAAACTCCCTACCCTACCATTACTCATATTTATGACCAATTCAGGCACAAAACATTCTAATTGTATTCAAGACTTGACAGAACATGACTCAGGTGACAGGATTGTTGATGAAATATTTGTGGATAATAAATTGGAAGAACAAAAGGACTTTGTTAACTTGCACAAATCATAGCAGCGTTGAAAGTGATTTGGAGTAACTCGTGTGAAATGATTGATTTTCCAGCGTGTAAATGACGCACAATCCCTGTTGAATTTTGACTGAACAAGGGTATGTGTGTGTGTGCAAATACTATCAGAAAAAAACACCACCTACAGAATTGATTGAATAGTTCACTGAATAGACATTTTGTGGTGATGTTGTGATTTTATGCAAATGAATTATTTGGGGTTACATATATTGCTTCCTGGTGGTTATAATACATTGCTATACACTGTACATATTAAGTGTGTTTGACAATAAAACGATGTTTTCCTCAATCATGCCATGGCTTCTGTTATTTAATAAAAAGGTTACATGGTATACAAGTGAACAAACGAATGAGTAATAGGGCTTACACGTAACTATACCGTGGAATATGGGATAACTTTGCTTGACATAATCATTACAATATAGTCATTTTCACATTAAAAAAAAGCCCATCATGCCCAAAAATATTGGCTGTACCAAATATTTACAAATTATATTAGTTATCTCGTGAGCGCAAAAGGAACATGGAATAATGTAGTTTGTGTCTCATATGCCACAAGGCAGGCAGATGGAACACAGATGCACTACATTTTCCGTGTTCAACAAGCGTGTGAGGGACAACAAATTTGTCTTCAACGTGACACACAGTAAAGATGGAATGTGGATGCTGTAGAAACTTTTCAGCAGTTATTGTATTACATGTGCATGCAGCAGGAATGGCCATGATACTTGAAGTACAACACAGACAGTGCTATATGGGATATTGTTATATCGTTTCTTGGATACTGCAATTCCATTGGAATAAAAAGGCCACACGTCCAGTCTATACAAATAACTGTTTACTTATACACTGCATTGCATATAAATTACCTCATATACACTGCGTTGCATATAACTAACCTCTGCTTTCCCTACTTGGCATGCAGTGCAGCTGGACAGATAAAAACAATTTTAAGACCACTTTCCCACCTAAACTGAACTTAGCTAAATAAGGAGAACTAAACCTACTGGCAAATCTGGGGATATACATTGCCATATTTTAATGTTTAATATGTGTATTTGAATGGAAGGTAATTCAGTAAACAAAGTTAACATACATGGAACTTAAGCTTAAGAATACACCTCAAACTTAAAAAAGCAAATAATACTCATACATCAGCATGTGTTCAATTAAATTCTGAATATATGAAGCGGGTAAAAAATTAACTTGAATTGATCTTAACAACTTCGAAACAATTAGTTTGAAGCAAATACAAAGTTAAATACAGTTTGTATATACTTATTTATTTCTTATTTTAACTGGGTAGCCCATTCAGTGGAATCCACTGATCTCCCTTGGGTCCCAGTAAAGAGAAGACAATGTGAAGAAATTACAGGTTTAGAGGTGGGAGGAAAAGCCCAGAAGAGTATTCTGAGGAAAACCCACGGAATCAGGTAGGGACTGAAAACCCAATCCACATATTGGCCCAGGCGGGATTCGAACCCGGGTCACAGCGGTGGAAGGCGAGGAAAGTACCGCTACGCCAACCTGATGTACTGGATACATCTTTAAAGTTTATGGAAGTCGCGTCAATGCTAAAATTGTTGGGGAGCATTATTGGATGCATTCACAATGGATCGGAATGTACGAAATCAAACTTATAAGAAAATAGCACAAATTCTCTAGAATTGGTCCATGGAGGTCAACATGCCCTTGTAAGGGCTGTTCAACTGTTCATATTATTTACATTTCTAGGATGGCAAAAGCTCCAACTAAAACTCCTTTTAGTCCGGGAAAAAGCCACACTTCTAGCAAACCAAGACATTTGTGGAAGCATTAAACACTCTTCAAAGACCAGACTGCCTGTTCAATTCGTTACATACACATTTATCAAAAAGCAGAATGATCATGGAAGCCCACTGATTTCACAGCTGGAATGAACGTTTCCTTCTATCAAAACTTGAAAAGCATAAAATAAGTTCTTTTTTCATTTACAGTGAAAATGTATATCACACACAGAGATTCTGAGGTTAATATTTCATTCTTAATCTCACACATCACTCCATATCACGCTGACATCGACTCAAGAACTTGCATACACCATATTTTATGACTGTATGGAATGTGATAGCCACAAACGTATGAAATCATACGCCAATGCTGACAAAGACTTTGAGGATTTCTTGTTCCATGGCAGCCATTAGTATGGTGTACGCATAGCAAACAGTGCATGCAGATTAGTATATTACAGTCATAAGAATAACAATCTGTCATATAAAAATATAGATTTTTTGTTATGATTCATTTACAAGTGGTGCATTGCACAAACTTCTCTACCGCCTCCCTACCTCAAAAAGACCTCTGCCCATACAGGCAGTGACACTTTTCTTTAAACCTCACAATGACAAATCTAGAACAGATGAAGTCAAATCAATCACAAGTTAAACACAAGCATTCACCAGTGAACAATGACATTGATGTACCGTACCTTGTCACCTTTTGTCATGTTTGTGACAGGATGGCTTGTAATTGTGATGACAAGGGATGACTTGTGAAGACTTGATAACAAGTCTGATTTCTGGTACGAAAAAAAATCTTTTATTTACAATATACCTTTAACCTAATCCACCCCCTTAAAAAATAAATAAAATTATATATGAGGTGTTCTGGCAAAATGAGACAGAACTGGCCAGAGGTCGAAATGAGGGTTTGCGGATATTAGGAAAGGGAATAAAAATTTCCTTCAGTCATTCCGTCAACAAGTTCAGGCTGTTTAAAATTTGCATTTATCAACATGTCAAAAAGTAAAATACTCGGAAAAAGCCCTTGAAGTTTTGCGTTTGTATGTGAAAATGAAAGACGGCAATTGTTATTCCTTATAAAACACTGTTGTTCCACAATTTTTATACCTTTTCTTTAAAATATGCGTAGTAGACATACCAAAGATTACAAATATGGATAAATCTGAAAATCATTTTTCTCCACTACGGCCTGCACCCAGTTCCCTCTCATTTTGCCAGAACACCTCACATAAGGAAAAACATCACAAGACAAATAAATTAACAATGACTTCAAGTTCAGTAACTCTTTTGGCAGATTTTGACAGACTGGCTGCATCCATTCGGGACAAACTAATGATTTCTCACATATTACTACTACCAGTCTAAAGTTACTGGTGCTTATTTCAAACAACAGTTGCAACTACGGCAGCTGTGGTCACATGTTAGAATTCATACATACCCTACTTCCTTGAAAAGTATTGTTAAATACTTGCATGTGCTAATTACTACATCTAATCACCACAAAATAAACTATTTGACATCAATGAAAATAATAACGTCCCTCTCTCCATCAAAGTAAAAAAAAATCAAAATGTTTAGTCATAATTTTACTAGTCTAAACCACAACTAGACGAGATATCTAAAGGGCATTAAACAACCAAAGAACAAAACAATTCTTACCATCTTTGGATACACACCATTCAGTAACATTACACAGAAATCAACAAAAACAGACACAAACACATGAATAATCATAAATATGTTTCCTTATTTAAGCCACCTCAAAACGTTCAACAATAACAAAAATATAATTTTAAATATGTGATTTTTATAGCAATAATAATTTGAAAATGTTAAGATTAACCATGTTCATAATAAAAAAAAAAACAACTTTATACCATTAATTAATTCTCCTCACACCTACAACATAACTTTCAGAAATGATTTTACTTTATAAAAATAAACTACGTCCCCATTATAATATTTGGCAACGCAGCTTTTTCTGAATACATTCACTGGTTTCTTTTATCATGATTGCCCTTCACCAATATAGTTTTTATAAGCACTTCTGTGCTTTCTGAAAACTTGTCCAAAAAAACTTGTGCTTGATTTCTTAAACTTTCATTCTTCTCTGGAGCACAGTTTCTCAAATATTCTCTCTTTTCTTAATGTGGAAGACTGGAAAGAAATAACAAGATTTCGTTTTGAAAAGACCTGCAGTAGAATTTACTCCAGCACTGTTGCAGTGCTGTTACCGATAGACGCATGTGACTTGATGAACTGAGATTAGCACGGCAAGACAACAGAGCCACGTCTCTCAGTTCAGCGTTTAGAGCAGACACTTGCCTCAGGATTCAACATGCAGTGAAGTGACTTGAATCTGCAGCAGGGAAAAAAACAAACGTTGGGGGAAAAGTTGACACCTTACATAATATGCAGGCACTAGATTTGGATCCAGAGGATCCAGAGGAGTAAGTGGAATGGTTGTAGAGTACTGGGGTCCAATAATTGCACTTGTCAGACTCTTGTCTGGAGGTATATGGATTAAAACTCTCAAGATGCTTGTGTTCTTTGGCAAGACACTTTACTACAATAACCAACTGAGAGTAAATCAATATTAGGTTTTTGCCCTTCACCGGCATATAAATTTACGATTTATTGATTTACATCACTCCGACGCAAAAACTCCATATTGTGAATATAGCCAACTGAGAGCATCTGTGGGCTTATAGAACAGTCTGCACTGATCTTGAACTACATGTTAAAAAAACACTGGGCATCACTCCATTCTATTAACTTGGTGCACATCAGTCATATTAGGCCAATTCAGCACCATCATTGATGGTGCAGTTTCACTATCATCTATTTAATTAGAGGGGGCATTTGAAGACACTTGTAACAATGCTCCGGTTTAGTGTACCATCTCTCAGACAATAATGAGTATACTGTGTGCAGCCACATGCAACGCTTGATTTTTTTGAATCCATAAAGCAATTTGGCAGTCCCACTACACGCTTTCACCATTCCATGGTTAGCTGGATGAATAGCGCCCTCTGCTGTCAGCTACTGAGCCCAATAAAGAATGTGCTTTAATGACCGACATGCTCAGCAGGACTAGAGAGCATAATGCCCATGGACTGACCCCATTGAAAGCATATTAACCTTTCCCTGGCCCTTGCACATACACCATTTCAAACTACATTATCATGGATATGCCATTTTGCCTAATCCTTTTTCAAAGTACATGTATTTAGACTAATGCCGTGCTAAAGATCAACACATATACTTGGCACACCCCTTTCTCATGATAAATTCTGACACCCCCCGCTGTACCCAAAAGCAAGTCATCTGATCATAGGGACCTTGGCACCCACTCACCCTGTCCCCTCTTCAAACACCTGACCCTTGCTGATATAACATGTATTACCTGGTTGGATCCACCGTTGTGTCGAAAGCTGCATTTTTCAGAATGACGCTATTAGTTGCTTTCTCAGAGTTAATTTTATAACTCAGTGTAACCTGGTTAAACAAAACAGAAATCCTGATCACCACAAAGCTGATGGAAGTGTCTGGACTGGACAGTGACACAACAATAGGGACAGGACAACTGACACTGATGACCAAACAAATGATGGAATCAATTTTTGATTTTGATTTGATTTAATTTATTTCCGTGCTTCCTGATACAGTAGTATTACCAAATGAAGTAAATATAAATGAAGTAGACAATTCAAAAGAAATAAGTGAACTAAAATAATTCAAGGAAAATTCAAATAAATTTAATAAATATAAAATCTGAAAAATAAAGAAGAAACATTAACGATGACTGTGATAGATGGGTCCATTCTATAAATTTAGGGTCCAAAGGGACACATTTTACCAGTCGCTGCTACTTTGGTACATGTACTATGTACTTTGCCATTCAATATCATTCGAATGACTCTCAATGATTTTTTTATTTGTTGGCTAGATAGTTTGCTGTTCATAATCACTCTTGCAAGACGATCGTATTAAGGAATGCGTTATTTTGGAGCTAATCATCCTTACTCGCAGCTGAGAAGCTGAAATGCGAAAGACGCGGCTATAATGTGGTCAAGCTGCAAGCATGTAAAGGCGCCTCTGACAGCCAGCCATACGACCCATAATTATATGACCACAGAGCACAGCCAGAGATCCAAAGTTTGGATTTTTTGTTCGAAGGGAGGAAAACTGGAGAGCCTGGAGAAAAACCCTTGTGGCACAGGAGAGAACCAACGCACAACTCAACTCACATATGGTCCTAGCTGGGAATGAGCCAGCGCTTTACGCACTAGCCACCCATGCCACCCGCATCAGATGTAACAACGAAAAAAATAGTGGACCCACATGTATGACCAAGATCTACTTTAAGACTGATTGAACTTAATTGACAGTTTACAAAGCATTTAACAATGACAGGATGACTGACCAACAACCTGATTACTGTAAATGACAGAACAGGTGAAAATAACACAAACTGCAATGACAGGAACAATGGACAATGACAGTCCCAAACAATTACATGATTATACTTACAGCTCTCTTGATTTGGTTTTCGTTCAAGTTCCTCAGCATGGCTAGATGAGAATGCATATCACTAATCTTGGTCAGAGGAACACCTAACAAATCAACTGATACAAACAAACACAACTACTGTCAAGAATCAGGGCTGGACTTGGCTTGTTTTTGGTTGAAAAACCAGTCTCAACTTTATTCCCAATTAAAAATCAATTTATGACACTGGGTTTTGCTCTTTTATCAGTCGATTCTCTGGGTATAGTGGAGTCCACCTAACATGACGCACTTTGACATTTCCCCTGACTTTCCTCATGCAGTGTTGTCAAACTTCTTTGTTGACAAACTTCAAATTCATTCAGTTAAATACTGGTTCTATTAACGTATATAATTCTTGCTGTTGAACCCTTGTGAACAATTTTAGTGTCATGAAATTTAATCCCAAATTCAAACACTGTGGAGTCCAGAAATTGGGCACAAATTTGGTCAGCCGAGTGTTCCCCAACATGGCGCACTTGAAGAAATCTCGGAAATTCCCAAGCGAACATTTAAGATTTTTTTTTTTAAATTATCTTATTTTCGGCGCATTTTAAAAGGGTTCACTGTACACTTAGAAATCAATTCAGAAAACCGCGCCCATGTATAATTCTCTCTTAACTTTATAACGGGTAGGTAAACTCAAGTATATGAATGGAAATGTTTAGAACTTGATGAAAGTTCACTTACTGTGAATTTGTTTGCTCTACTAAGGCACTAAAGGCGAAAAATGCACTATATTAGGGGACATGCTACGTTAGGGGAAATCAACAATATGTCAGATGTTGGTATACAGGGCGAGTAAAACAAAAAACGAAACCCAAATATCCGGACCATTGCTTTAGTGAAGTTCTGCATGTAGCACTTTCAAAATCTAGGATATGAAAGCCCACTTCATAAGCTTTCTTTTAGTACAAGAATCATTCAAATCACTCATGTACTTTTCAAGTTACAAAATTTTCAACACAACCACCATTTTAAAGTTCTGTCCACGGATCACAAAAAAGCGTGCATTATTTCAGCAAAATGAAAGCGATTCACACACATCCCATGTGATTTGTTTTCGTTCTGCTGAAAGAACACTTGCCTTTTCGTGATCCGTACACAAAATTTAAAACAGTGGTAGTGTTTAAAATTGTGTAACTTGAAAAGTACATGAGTGATTTGAATGATTTTTGTACTGAAGGAAAGCTTTAATATGAATTGGGCTTTCATATCCTAGGTTTTGAAAGTGCTACATGCAGAACTTCACTAAAAGAATGGTCCCGACATTTGGGTTTCGTTTTTTTTTACTCACCCTGTAGACTAAAAATACTGATGTGCAAATGGCTTGAGGGCTTGAGCTTAAGTTCCAAAACTGAACTCCTCCCCCCCCCCCTTCGAAAAAAAATGAAGAGTTTCGACATTATGCTAATTTAGGTGTTTAAATATTTTATGCTCACCAATAAGGAATGCAATGGACACGTCATCTGGTAAGTTGATCCTGTTGCATATTTGTGGGAATCCCCCAATACTGTCACAAAGAAAAGAAACAATGAATAACCGTAAGTGTTATAAATCACAGGAGATAATGGGCATCTTCTGTTGGCAGAATAGTGTTCTTCTAGTATTTTGATATAATGACAATAATGACACAAAGTGTCTACAACCCATTAAGTCCCACCCTTTTATAAGGTATCTTTGTGTGAACCCATTCCAACATTCAATTTCTGTATTCTTAATATGGCCTGTGGTGTTTACATACATAACAGTCATATACATCACTTGCATGTAAATGTGCTTATAAACTTATGTATATCTGCAGTACCAGCACAAATTGTGCCCCCGCTAACTTAATTTGGAAGACATATTTGATGAGTAAACCATAGGGCATGGATCTACCCAATACAGGAGTACAGCTGTGGGGTTGCCACATGAATTGATGGAATATCAATTATGTATAACACATGACTGAATACTCAAAGAAGTCAAGCAAATCATGCAATGAACCCCCCTCCCCCCACCCAAAAAAAAAACACCCTTTAAGTTCAGAAATTCTGTGAATTTCGAGAATAGATCAAAGTAACAGAAATTATCATAATTTTGATGTTTATCAATTACATGTATTAAGCTACTAGGAGACTTGTCAATTTAAGGCGCTTTAGATCAGTTAATGGAGCAACAAGACAAACATTCCGGAGGTCCCAGGTTCAAATCCAGACAACCCAATGGTTTGCTTATTTCACAGGAGCACTGAACCCTGATGCAATCACTTCACACATTCACGCTTTCACACATTCAAATTGTAGTGATTTCAAATCGCACTGCTATGGCCTACCAAATGGTTCTTATTTTAGCAGGACCAAATTCAAGCCAGAGTGTAACCAATCTCATTCAAGAGTTGGTGCTAGGTTGAAACATTTCAGGCATATAACGATGCATGCGCTCAACCGCCTGGCGCCTAGAGCAGGCCCATGGGATGCTGTCTAGCATGATAAATGCCTTTTGTCCGCCATCTGTCATACTGTTATTCCATCCGTGCTGAAACAGCAAAGCATTGTCTAGACCCTAATTGAAGGATTTTCTCAACAAATTCTATAAGAGAATATGCTGGTAGTTTTATATCAATCATTATAACTGCCAGGGTACATATCTACCATCAACAATTAATACACCGTTAAGAAAACAAACAAATCCTGGTTGTAGGTTATTTGTAAGCACACACATACAGATAACAGTAACCTGCAATTCATTCTTTGGTTTACCACTGCCTGGACATGTCCCCTCTGTTGTGCTTGGATGCTGTCTGAATGGCCCCGCTGAATGGAGCCTAGCAAAAGTCGTGATATCCATTCTAGTCATGCATTGTGTCCTTTGTGATGCATGGAACAATTGGTACAATAGTGGAGTGGGTTGGTCACTTGAAGGAAGGAGCATGCAGAGTTAATCAGCTGGTGAGTTGGGAGGGACTTTCCCACACTCTCAGCCAGCCGCAGATTATTAAAGGGACTAATACCACCTCAGATGCATGAGTAACCACCCAAATTGAAATAGCTTATTTTTTCCTGGGGCTGTAAATACATACATGTACACAGTTTAATTGCCACAAATTTAAAGGCCAAATCAATACACTTTCTAATTACATGTATTTGCTGATTTTTAAAACTGGTAAGTCTTTAAAGCCTTTTCCTTTTCAACTTTATTAGATGTTTTTAAGAAATTTTTTTTCTTTCTACACTGCCTATTGGCAATTTCATGGTAACTCACGTTACATTTAGAAGGGGTCTTCCGTCATCTTTTTACTGTTATTCTTTTAAAGTCCAAGTATTTAGGGTATATTTTTTTTCTCACAGAAGATCCCTCACAATTAAGTGACTAAATTACAAATAAAAACTTCAGTTTGGCAGTAAGTTTTTGTCGGTAACTCAAGTTACACAAACTTGACATAGAAAAATTGTTCAGTACCTTGCATTTGAAAGTTTCCACATACTGTGAACTGTACATCATTCAGTGCCCTTACATTCATTAGGGTGCAAGTTTTAGGTTAATATAATGACCATTTTAAAAAAATCGATCATGACATCTCTAGAGGGATATATTTCGGTTACTTATGTTACAGTAACTCACGTTACAGTTGGTCCACCCATCTTTAGTACATGTACAAGATAAAACATATAAGAAAGTTCTAATTGCACAAAAAAACTCTTTTGGGATAAAATATGAACCTTTCCCCGTCTGAAAACCAAAAAACTCACTATAATACTCGCATTTTGCATGTAAAAACAAGGTGCCAAAATTACCACCTAAAATCCATATTAGTCAAAGAAAGAAGTTTTTCTACACAAAACAACACACCCCTAACTATATCCCGTCTCACTGGTACACCCCTCAAATCAAAGACCTTGTTGTCCCCTTTAATTTGATACCACATTTAAGGTTGTATTGGTTGTAGTTCTGAAGATTATATTAAAATTGTCCACTTTTTAGCCGTGTCCACTTTCTCATGGAATTGCTCCTATGGGTATTTCAAATTTTAAAAATATAACCCAAGGGGTGGGGTTTGTTCCGTTTCTGTGCAGATAAATAATTACTCCATGTAGTTTGAACAGTCAATGGTAGCCCACGGTGAGAAGACAGGACTGAAAACCATTGTCAATTTGTCTTATACATGTACAAACCTGTAAAGATAATATACCCATGGAAATGAAATTACTATTGGCAGGAAATAGCTTGTAAGTTTTATGCTTCCTTAATAGACTGGAATCAAAAATACATAACGGGAACTATATGCAGACACAGCAATGAAACATACACATGCACAAAATGAATATGGGCAAGAACTTCTTTTGTATACATGTACGTAGACAGACTGCTTTTTTCAATCATTCTGGCACATATCCAACAGCAAATTCAAAAGCAATCTGAGAAAAATTCCTATTGGCATTAAAAAATCAGTTATTATAATGGGTATTATAACCTCCTTGGTGAACCTGTTTGTCTGTCAATACAGGAAGGAATGTGTATTTGTTGTTGTCAAGATAATAAAGTGTGTAGGCTTTCAGCGCAGCACAGACTAAGGTATGAGTGCTTTGTACGTTTCAACTCTATTTCTCAGATTCATTGTTATAGGCCTACATGTATTTTTTTTTTCAATTTTCATACGTACTTTCTCACGAACCTAGCTGGATATCAGCTAAATGAAACAGGTGCGTGTGAAATTTGCACACTCTGGGTGTGAATTCTATTACGCACATTGTCACGTAGCGTATTGATTCATATGCAAGGAATGTGATGAAAGACGTGCTATTCAACAAGTAAAATACAAATTTCCTATACATGTACACAGTATTAATAACTAAAACTAAAAAAATGTACTTCAAAAACACATTAACAGGAAAGAAGTAAAGAAAAGCAAGAGCCATCCAGTTCCTACGCTCGTACATAGCGCATTGAAGCCGAAGTTACTTGTGAACTGGATCCCATTACGGATGTGAACGAAACTAAATCACACTGCAATATTTGAAGAAAGCACCACATTATATTTTCTTATGTGTTTACACATTAGTTTGACAGTGGAATTCAGTGCTCATCTGTCGCGGTAGTTTTGCGTGTAGCCCATAACACAACAACATTTTCACAATGCTAGTTAAACAACTCTTGCGCAAGTTGTCAGTGTCTGGTATTTTGGCCAATGGTTTTTGTAACACAGAATGAGTTTTATAATGCACCTATGCCATTTGTCCTTGCCTGCTTTTTGTGTGTATAGTGTGTGGTACAATCCATGCAAATATTCCCCGCTGAGATCACCAATACCTTGTTATTCCATCTCTGGTTTATTCTGGGAGGGATTGTAAAGGTTACATTCCCTAAAGCCAGCAGTTAAATCCCTGCAAGCCCTAAGTGGGTCAAGGCAGACACCCCAATACTGCACAGGTTGTGGTAAGGTGGGCGTAGTTTACACATGACTTGTACAATGTACACTTGTCTGTGTAAGGCCAAAAACCAGCAAATGGAACTTTGTTTCTTGACTCATCAAATGACAACAAACATCACAATGAAACTAATGGATTATCCTTGCTAAGTATGGACTGACCCTAAAGCCACTATTCACGAATACCTGCCCACTGAAATCTATGCTGAGATTGTATTTCAGTTGCCCGAGAAATCAGTGAGTGGCAGCCACTTGAACTGAAGTTGTAAGCACAGATGTACGTGCCTGTACATGTATGTCAACACAATGGGCAACATTCAAAATGGTGTGGGGTACGTATGTGGCTCGGAAAAGCTACCTGGTACCTGTTTATTTTACCATTTTGGGTACTTAACCAACTCATATATGTAAATCGTAACATGATGATGTGGAATGCAAATAAGCAATAGTTTGGAAAATCTGCCATCTTGGGGGTGGGGGGAAATGCCTGCCTCCTTCCTTTTTTTAAAATTATAGCAAGACAAGAAACTATTTATTTATTTTACTCTGCCTAACAAGCAACTTGCATATCATGCACGCTCACCATTTCTAATGGTCCGTACATACATGTGCATGGGAAGCAGACGTACAGAACCAAAGGTTAGGCATGCATATAGTACGCATACACAAAACTACAGGTGTATGACTGGAAAATAAAAACAGTTTATCATCTAGACAATTTCGTCTGACTGAAGTAGCAAACTTATACTGCAACTCCCATTACCATGCTGAAGTCCCCTCCCCCTTATAAACCATGAGGAATATGTAATAATAAATGTGATATACTGCAGACAAAATATTTTGGCTGTTACGGGCAGTCAGATAATCTTTTCACAAGCCTTGTTTACAAACAAGTGAAACTTGAAATGAATTACAATTTTGTACTGAAGAAAACAAGCTTTATATGAACAGATGAGTCAAAAGATCTCTATAACAATTTCAGCCACATTTTCAAAATTAAATCATCAAAAGTTCAAAAGGAACAAGTTAAGCATCTGTCAAAAATTCACCCCCTTTTTGCAACATAAACACCAGTTCATATAGATCACTTTCATTGATCAAGTCACACATTATAATCCTCTGATTCACGATTTGCGTTTAGCAAACATGATCAATTTAGCTCGTTGTATTGAAATTTTGTTATCTTTTCTACTTGCATGTGACATCCGGTTTGCAATGTTCACTATCAGGAAATAAACACTGACAATCCCTTGAAAAATAACAGTATAGGACCTGTGCCACATACATGTATGCTCTCAATCCAAGTTTGCTGTTTACCCACAGTTGGCCTTGGTAATCTTTTATTTCTAATGACCAAACATTCATGTGGATGTCTGGAATGTCAAAAAAAAAGGTGCCAAAAAGAACCCCCCCCCCCTCCATAGTCCATAGCCAAATCTTTGCTCTGTTGAAGAGTGCAAACTGTTCACAACTTAAAAAGGTCATTTCATTGTAAAAAGGTAAGGCTACAACCATTCAAACTTTTTAATCAATACAATACATGTATAAGGTCACCATACCGAGGTCTACTCTACTGATGACCCTGGTAGGACAAGCTATGCCTAGCCAATATGAGACATGTTGCTAGGGCTTAGTCAGGTCAATGATTATCAATAAACATTAGCAGGTCACAAACTGGCCAATTAGGGGCCAGTTACTATGACATGGCTGTCTGCTATTGGTTGACACTTAAATGAATGCAAAAGTAATCATTAGCCAATGGAACTAGGTATATTGTTCTGACTTCTCATATCAGCTATATATCCACTTGTTTAATGCACTATTTAGTTTTCTCCTGTATTTGGTGGGGGGGGGGCAAACTCAAAAATGATGGTGGCAGAAATTTATCAAGGCCCACTTTTAGAAAAATGCTATGTAGAAAATATTGCTTTGTGAATGTACAAGCTAATAGCAAAAATCAGCTAAGAACCAATCACAATTCATCACATAACATTTTGGCCGCTAGCCAATTCTTTGTCGGGGGGGGGGGGGGGGTCCGGCAAATTTTTCCTCCTGTACTCAAGAAGTCTGTAACACTGACCCGACCTCAAATTAAACATACATGTAAATGTCACCCTACCAGGCCAGGGACCGACCACTGAATGGACATCCAGAGGCCTAGATTAGTGAAGTCACACCTATCAAAGAAAAGCAAAATAACTGGCCCCAAATTTTTCCACACTTGCATTCGCCTTTTGATAAAAGCAAACTTACAAAAGGACTTAAACAAATTGAAGAGAGTGGGCCAAATCATCCTAACCAGGAAACAGTCAACCTTTATACCTGTGGGTTATATCAATAATCTGGCAGGATGTTGATATGTTTAAAGTGTTGCTTAGCTCTCTGCTCTGTTTTTATGGTAACACTGGTGATTCCATGCACAATTGAAAAGAACAATCAAAGGCAGAATATACAGTAGGTAGGCTTATTTGATTTCCCACATTCCAAACCCACCTTTGAAAATAGCAACTACTATTTTCACCCTGCAGCATTGCCTAGCCCCCCCCCCCTTCACAACACAATGACCCCTGATTTTATCCAGCTGATGGTTACACACACTCCCTTTCCCAAATTCCCTCAACATGATCATCCCAAGGGTTCCATAATACACCCTCCTACTATTTTTTCCTTTTTGCATCCACTAATACCCTGTTTATCAAACGTTATTAATGTCATTAACCCTAAAGTTCCTCAATCCTCCAAAGTCATCCAAACAGTTTCGGAGGATATCAGAGGATTGAGGCTGAATGCAACATACAATTTGGGAGGACTGTGGAGGATTGAGAATGAATGCTCATTCACAACCGGTTGATTTTGGAGGATTGAGGATAAAATGGTATTTGAAGAGGAGGAGGATTGAGGAGGATTGAGGATGAATGCAGTTTGAGAGGTAGGACTGTCTGACGATTATGAAGGATTGAGGCAGCAGGTATCCTTCATTTGAACGAAGTGCACAATTTTGGAGGATTGAGGACGGTTCATAGCAAAAAGAGCCTAGGGGGTTAGGGTTGTAAGGGCTCTCCCAGTGACAATGGGAGGTCTGAATACTGACACAGATATATGCAAGAACAATCCAAAGATTTGTAAAAGGATACACAACCAAGTCCAAATCAAAGTCCTCTTGCTTATCTCAGACATTTTCTGGATACATTTTTCATCCAAATACTCAGTCTGACCACTAATCCAAGCCCACTTACTTGGACCACTCTGTCTAGTTTCTTGGGCTGAATTCCTAAGGTAGCTGCATATACTTGTTGGACAGGGGGAAAAAGGACTTGATTACAACACTTTGCAGTCTACCACCCACTAAACGCCTGGACTTACCCAGCATAAGGACTCATCTTCAGGGCAAGAGAGCGAGAGATACACACACCAGCTCCTCCTGTGGCAAACCAGAAGGTGGTTTGGCGTCTTGTGGATCTCATCTGACTGATTTTACTCTTGTCAAGCTGAAGGCACAAATAATGATTCCTTGTTAGCCAGAGTTTTCAAATTTACAAAGTAATTGCAGTATGTGGTGCTTTACCCCAAATGAACTCTTTGGTGGTAAGGGATAATTCTGTATACTTTGGGAAGCAAAGGACATCATCTGAAATATCAGGGCTGAAGTGATGGGAACAAGAACTGACTACGTGTACATACACACATGTACAGCAATATTAAAAACCTTGCTAGCAGAGCACTTGAACCTGTGGAACTGCACTGCCCCCCCCCCCCCAACACCCACCTACTCCTTCCACTTGATGGTGGCAGTCTTCCAGTTTACTTTGATTTATCAACATTTGGAGTCGTTGAGAGCTCATTTGACAGAGAATATGCATACTATTCTGAAATTCCAAATTCCAATGTTAAAAGACAGCTCAAGTCATTTCAGGTCTACAATGTGTTTGCGACTTACAGTTTTATCGCCGACATCATAAACAGTAATTTCTGCTGAGGTACTGGATCGTCCAAGGTAGTAGTCTTTGTCATGTTGGTAGGATCGTAACAACTTCAATAAATTATCTATGTTCAGGTAATTATCATCATCCACGTTACACCACCATCTAAAAAAAAAAAAAAAATTAAATGAATAAATACAAGTAATGTGTGAAGAAGTTTATTCAAGTTGATTGATGTGCAATGAACTGTAACTAGTTGAGAAGGGCAGTTCAGCAAAGATTCTTCATTTTTATTGCTACCTGTATCTCACTATGAGCATTCTTTTACTTGAACACTCCTTTACTTGAACATGAAACAGACAATGCTTGTTAAGGAAGGAGGAAAAAAACCTACTTTTTTAATCTGGGAAGTACCTGTTGTACTGATATGTAAGTCCATGTTCTTTATAATTGCTCGTGGTTACAATTTGTTTTTGGAAAATCAAATCAGTATCCAAGGGAAAATGACCCCATTAAAAGAAAATTGTACAGGGAGGTTTACCTTTTTCCGGATTGCAAGTACATAGAAAAAATGGCGCCCATTTTACAGCATAGGCCTTGCCTGTAAATAATAGAACAAAAAAAAACAAATTCTTTTTAATAAGATCTCTAATTTTGGTCGTAAATTTGCTGCAAGTATAGCTTAAGATTGAACTTCAAGTATTGATGTGTATTATTTTCCATGTGGGTTTACAAACAAAAACAACCGTTGGTAATAAATACTGCGTGTTTTAAACAACAACTGGTATTTGAGGAAACTTCACCTCTTTGTTGAGTTTGTGTGGTCCTAAACAGGGTAGGTTTCAAACTTAACATTTAACGGTGTGCTCAGCCTGTTTGTCATTTATTTGGCACGTGAGGAAGAACTCACAATGTAAGTGTTCATACATGCATGATCTTGGTTTTTTTAGAACATGATCATGTTAAAGAATTTAAAAATGATATACAAAAAAAGTACACCAAAAAATTATAATGCATCACACAATATCACATGTCAAAAATTCTCACAAATTAAAAAATACGTAGGCTTGTCTCAGATCAGTTAATTTGAAATGAAATTATTTGGTTATTTATAACATGGGTGTGCACGTACAATGTACATGTACGTACCTTGTATGCTTGGCAGCACAGTGTGTATTTATGAACTGTCCACCTGCAATACAAATAGTGAGAAAAAAAAATAGTGAGATTACAAAACGTCTTTGTTACTCAGGAACTGTAGCACAATTAGTTACATTTAATCATGTGATTACTGGGGGGCTGTGGTCAAATGGTTACGGTGTTCAACTCGTGTGCCGTGGTGCATGGGTTCGAATCCTGACCGTGGGAAAATGGTGCTTGTGCTCTTGAGCAAGGAACTTTACCATTATTGCTTCGTCCTTCGGATGGGACGTAAAGCCGTAAGTCCTGTGTGTTGTGTAATGCACGTTAAAGAACCCAGTAACACTTATCGCTAAGAGAAGGGGTTTGCCCTGGTGTTTCTGGCAGTGGCTGCAATGTGCGCCGCAGCACAGGTGCTACATAATGGGTCTCATATTTCTCATAAACTTTATTTACCTTTCTTTAATAATTGACATAATTTCCAGCGCCTTGAGTACCTAATTGTTGGTAGATACGTGCGCTATATAAGACTCCGTTATTATTATTATTATTATTATTATTATCATTATCATTGTCATGGACTGCTATTTCAGCACATTTTTTCCTTCTAAGTACATGTACTGAAGGGTGAGGTCGATTAGCTCAGGTCCACTCAGGTTAGCCCCGTGCCATTTGATTAGCTCTGACATCATTTTCGGGGCTCACCGGGTCAGCCACCACAGGCCCCGCTCGTGGAGTGAAGTCAGTGGTGAAAATACATCAAACGCATGCGTTGTTCATTCCAAGACGCTGACAAATATGGTGACCAGACAGAGGGAATGATCAAGGGGACCCAAAAATCAACTTTATTTGAAGTCTAAACATAATTATTCATTGATCTCATTGCGACTTTAGTGGCTATTATTCCAGTCGTGACGTCCTCACTTTTTCCAAAAAGGGCATTTTGTCAATAGCTATGGCTATGAGGATCATGATGGCCTGCGTTTGAGAATTAGATAAGTCTGACTCTTGTGGTTAACTGTCTACCTTTACCCGAGTCGACCCGGTTGAGCTAATCGAACGCACCCAAAATAAATTGGACATCAGTCAAACTGCCATGCAATGAATTTACTAATTGCCTCTGGTTCTCTGGTTCCTTCTGCTGAACAAGTGAATCTGCAGAGCAGGTGGATATTGCTTACACACAAGACATTTTGCAGATCAAAATATTCTAGCTACATGAAAACGAGCTAAGCTTCAGCCAAATCAGCTGTCAGTTGAAAAATCACCTTTTTTTTTTAAAATTAAACTTAAACAAAACATAACTTCCTTGAATAATCTCTGCAATGGTTTCGTTGATTTTACAGGCAAGTTTTGATTTAATGAATACTGAATTTTTTGCGAGCTAACTTCACCAAACGTGGTCTGAAATAGACCTACATAACTCTGAATGTACAAACTGTACACAGATGTGTTTCGACACTAAATAAAAAATTCCTCTCTATAATATTCAATATTTTTGACTGAATGACAGATGCATTCAACAGATCAATAATAAAATAATATGACAAAGTAACAACCTCACGTTTGTAATACATTCACTTGCTCATGATATGAATGGCTCCTAAAATAAATTCAACAGATGTTCACTTATACAAATCCAATTGACTACAAGCGCATGCTGAATATATCACAATTGTTTTGCTATTATAATATAAAAACCCTTAAAAACATTGTACCAAAATCCAGTAACAACTGGATTACTTCAAATAAAACTCAATTTTAAGGATTGACAATACTGACCTGTTTCTTTGGAGTATTTTGGACTGTCAGCATCCGTGAAAAAATATGTCTGAAAGGAGAAGACAAATACATGATTGAGCTGAAGACATTCATGTGCAAAACACCGCATGTGCAAAACAATCCACAAAAATTACACTTTCTATGACGTTAAAAATATCACGCAATCTTATCTGTCAAATGAAAAGTAAAATCAATACAACAATATTTAACCCCTTCATTCATATAAAAAAGGGCTAGGTTGGTTATCAGTCTGTCCAATAATATTATTATCACCTACCACATTGATATGACCTTTGTGTGTGCGTTTTACTCAATGTATTGCAAAGTCTGTCAATGGACTGTAAGAGGAAGCCAGAGGAAATCTAATTAGAGGTTACTGTTTGAAAACAACTTATAGATGTGTAGTGTAACCATATATTCTCTAAAAAATATACATATACTGGAACATGTATGTTTAAACTAAGTAATGAGATTTGGAGTCAACAATTTTTCACTTGTCATGTTTTTTAGCTACTTTTACAATTTTACTCTGTAATAGACATTTCTCAAGCAATGCCATCTAGGAATAAAAGTGAAAACAGAGACGTTTTGTCCTGATTCGCGTTGTGCATGTACATGTATGTTAACGTGTGGATGTGCTGAAATTTAGGTTGCTTCTAGGGCAGTTTACTCATGAGTATGGTTATGATTTGTACAATTACATCATTCATCAGGCAGCATGGCCTAAGTTGTTGAGGAACCTGAAACATTTACCGAGGGGTTTGATCTGAAATATGACCAAGAGTTTCCAAACCCAAAAAGAATAATGCCAAGTAATCAGTGATTTGATGTTTTCACACAACACACCTATTTTTACTCTATGTGCTCTTTTTTCCCCTTGGGATGTGTTTTGGCAATCTTTTGAAATAACATACAGTCAATGATATCTTTCTGCCAAAACAACTGTCTCCATGCAGTTCTCTTATGCCATTGCTTGATACTGTTTTGTGAAATAGAGGTTTACCAAAAAGCTCAGTGTCCTTAAAAGCTAAATACAGGAAGAAAACTCTGGGTAAAGCTAACAAAGATGACCAGCAGAGCATACAGGCAATATCTCTGTGCAAACTTGGCAAATGTGTCCTTGCATTGTATGCATAGTGGTGCTTGTGTATATTAACCTAACCACACAGAAAAAAATTACCCTTGCCCGAGCTCATCTTCATAAAGGCTATACACTGAAAGCTACCTTTTCATAAAATCGTATCCAAAGGAGAATAATGCATATCGATGGTGTTGTTCAAGCAAACTTTGTCAAGAGTCTGGCATTCCCCCCCCCCAAAAAGAAAGGTGTAAAATACTAGAACTCAGTTAATGCCAGAGCGTGCAAAGTGCAAACAAGTTAATTTTTACAAGTTGAAAGTTTATCTGATTGTCAACTCACCAAGTGCACTTGAACTAATTTTATCAAACTTGTCCAGACTTGCCCAGATATTTTTTCCTCAAAACTATTAGATAATAGGCCTATTGACCATACGAGCAGGAGTCTTTTTGAATAAAATCTATCAGTCATTTTCAGATAGGCATGTCAAAATGCATGCACAAGGTTTGTGTAAGATATCTACATATTTCGTTTTTGCTCCCAATTTAAAACTGCTACAAACTCTGTAAAAGGAAAAACATTTCTGGTTTAAGTTCTCTGTTGTTGTTGTTGTTTTCTCTTTTTAATTAAACACCTTTTACAATAATGCTGGTTACAAATAATTGGCATGGTCAATATTAAGAAAGATTACCTGTATGTTTGTCCACAGCTAATTTATGTTTACAAAATAGAGAAACACGTTTGAACAAGTGCCATACCTGGACATCACTTGACACCCTGTGCACAAACCCTATGACTCATGAGACTGGTCTGAAAAATTCTAAGTGTTTTCTCAGTAAATGCTTCGATATTTTCCCTACTAAATTTGACTTTTTAGGACATGCTATCACTTTGTGTAAAGTGATGGCTGATAGGTCACTGCAGGGAAAAATTAGTGATGTCCATGTATGGAATTCTTCCCACATGGGAATATATGATACCGGGGCTATAGATCTTCCTGTGCACTTTTTCCAGGAAGCATTCTGAAACTTCCCAAATTCTCCAGGAAACCAACGAATCATTGACATGTTTAATTTGTACAAAACAAATAGGCCCATGACTCCAAATCCCAAAATCACGCAAACTGCTCCAAATCCCTGTTAGACCATCAGCCTGGGGGTTTGGCCAGTATCAAATCAGGGCATGAATGATTATAGTGCGCATGCGCAAGGTACCGTATACCGCCCCTAGAGTGGTAACAAGCATTTCGATGGACATTTTGGGAAAAAAGGGTGATAACACTCAAAAAGCTGCCACCGCTGCAATGCTATCACATATTTTCCAACTCTGGAGTTGTATACCTTGCCAAAAATCGCTATGACGATTATTCCCCTCATTTGATACCGGTGGCCAAAATTTTGGACCAAGGCTGATGGCCTATGTGGTATAGGACACACCTACTAGAGGGTAGGAGCCTGGGCAAACCTTGCGATGAAGGACATCTTTGGTACAGCTAGGGCACAACTCCAAGACAGACATCATACTGGGAAGACTTCCATACTAGGCCACCACTTACCTGCCGCCAAACACGTAAACTTCCACCTCACCTTGTGATTTCACTCAAGATGAATCCCTTTAGGAAAAATGTGTTTTTAGAGCACATTTTGGATGCACACATCGTGCAGAACTAAGTTGGAGGCAGCCGGTCATAGTGATTGAAGTGTCTGGAAGACAGCGGTACGTTATACGCATGACATCGACAACCATGACAATGCATGAGCCGGCCAATGACAGTGCAATAATTTCTCATGAATATTTAATTATTTCAATGGATACTTTAAGTACGTCCAAAGATTGATCATTGGAACAAGCGATTGTGGGCGGTCTAGCGGTAAAAGTGTTGAGTTTCAAGCAAGAGTCCGAGGTTCGAATTTCGATAAGTAAGTGACTGATTAATAAATAGGAATTATAAGGAAAGGAGAGGGTGAGAGTAGAGAAGGGAGAGTGGAAGAAATAAGCATAAAGGATGTAACTTTTTGGCGCTTGAAAAAAAGTGGTGGCCTAGTACGTAAATCTTTCCCATAATACTTAATAGACAATTATTATATATTTACACATCAATTTTTCCCCCCAAAGATGAGGGTCCTCAATTTAAGAGAAGAAAAACAAGTTAGGGAAAGAATGTTGCATCCCGACACCACTTTTTTCATCATATATTATCTCAATGAAGATCAGTCATTGCCAAAATGTTGAAAAAACATGAATCTGGGACTGAGAATCATTTCAAATTATTTAAATTAGAAAATACTTCAAAAATACACTCGACTCTCCAAAGACTTTGTACACGACCAAAGAATTGGCGTGTGGATACTACATTCTTTCCCAAGTAAAAATTGTTCTAGCTCAAGTTAAGACTGTCTTCAGCTTAGTAATCACACAGTGTCACAACTGTTTTCCAGATTCCAGTGCCATACTTCTCACTTCTTACATGTCTAACGTACTTTCAAACATACTGCTTAATTTGTATCTAGTCAAGTTCTTTGTGCATTCTGAGCCATATTATTACTTGGGTATAGGTCAAGACCCCCATTGGTTTGTTGGGAGTGGAAGGAAATTTTGACGGTTTGTGACCTTTTAAATAGCAGGAGGGTTAGAAAACCAAAAGAGATAAAACCAAAGATTAAGAGTTTTACCTGTTTTCTGACATCAGAGCTGTCAAGCCACGTCTCAAAGAGCACGGGTAACCGGGTGTCATGATATATTTCCGTTGTCTTCACTCCAATAAAAACGTCCGACAGTTCAGTCTGCCTAAAATTGTTTTTTAATGTTGTTGGAATGTTGGCTTTCTTGGATTCCTTCGAGTCCATAAAGGTTTTCGAAATATTCAACGTTTTGGGGTCCGGATTTAAATGGGATTCAACCTTTGCAGGCTGATTAACTTCCTCTCGTCCCTCACTGCTAAAGAAGATGTTCCGTGGCCGTCCCCCCCTTTTGGCTGAGGCATGCCACGCCTCCACCTGCACAGCTTGGATTTTGGACGGTTGGTTCTCATGATCTTCCTTGGACTCACTCGGTAAAAGGGTCAGTACAGCCGCAAAGCATAGCATTAAATAAACTGTCCCCATCACAAGAACAGTTCTCAGCAATCTGGACATTCGCTTCCAGTTGTAAAGCATCATGACCTTGCAGTTGGAACGTCATGAACGTGAAGAGGCGAATGTGACGAAGTACATGTACATGTACGTTTGTTGTGCACATCACACAATGTCAATGGTATTGGTAGGCTACTTCCTGAATTTCTGTTCCATGCTGTCATCAATTTGTCATTCGTGAGATAAGAACAACAGAGCAGATTTCGATGGCCTGTTCATTTCAGCAGCATGGTGCAGTTGACTGGGCATACATTGTACATGTAGGCCTAAACGTACACGTATTACTATTTATTAGCTAAAACTTCCGCAGTTTGTTATTGATTTCACGATCGATAAGGAAGCATAGCTAGCACTTCTCGGGTCCCGTCCGTGAGGCGAGGGGGATCGCCCTTGGAACGTCGAGTTCCCACTCGGGACGATTCACACATGGGGGACGTGTCTACGTCAAATAAGTGCATACATCCTAGATCATTTGATCACTCTGACATAAATTCCGACATTACGGTGAACTCAAAGATAAATCGGTGACAAACCCATCACAGCCGGCTCGGCACCGGTGTGTTGCAGAGTTTCGGACCTGTTGCAGGACTACTTACTAGACTGCTGATAGTAACGATTTGCATAATTGATCTGCTAGAGGGGGCTATAACAGGTGCACAACAAACTTTGCAACGGAATTACTGTTTGTATCATTTTTGGGAGGCTGATCGGAAGCAGAAGACACGTTTTTAAATTCTGGTTCCGTTTAAAGATTGATAAAAATTGTTTTATAAACTTATTGACGTGCATGACCATTCCCTGTGCTAGTTTCAATTTCAATTTTCCTAGCAATATAAAAGTTATTCACTTTTGAATTAGACATCGAACGAGAAAATCCACCGACGTTTAGTTAGGCCCCAAAAATAGTTCTGCTTCCGTATATGGTGGTGTACCCTAACGTGGCGCACTTCGAAGCATACCCAAATTTCCTCGTGTAGTGTTGCCAAACCTCTTTGTTGACAAACCTCAAATTCATACAGTGAAATACTGGTACTTTTACCTTATTAATGCTTGCTGTTTAACCTCTGTGAACAATTTCGGTTTCATAAAATTTAAGCCGAAATTAAAAAACGGTGGCGTCCGGAAATTGGGCACAATTTGGCGGAGTGTTCCCTAACGTGGCGCACTTAAATAAATCTCGGGAAATTCCAAATTAACATTTAAGAATTTCTGAAAACTTGATAAATTCTGATAAATCATTATTATCTCTACTTACATACCCAGCCAGATGTTTGTCACAAAATTATTTTCTTATTTTTCGGGGCATTTTCAAAGGGTTCACTTTGCACTTGAAAATAAAATCGGAAAATCACGCCAAAATAAGTTTTTCTTTTAACTTTGTAGCGGGTAAATAAATTCGCGATTTATGAATGGGAGTGTTTATAACTTGATGAAATTTCACTGTCTGTGAAATTTCAGTTAAAACTTTTGCTCTAGCTAGGCGCTACAGGCGAAAAATCAAAGTGCGCCACGTTAGGGGGCGCGCCACGTTAGGGTACATCAACAATACATGGCATTCGAAAATAGGGTAGGTAAGGCAAAAAAAAAAAGTCTCCGGTTTCTGGTATGCGCGCGCGTCGCCGTAGCCATGCGCGTCGGCAAAATGAAAAAGGTTTTTTTTTCAATAAAAGATGATGCCTCAAAACCGCCAAACTCACTGGTTTGACTGGAATCCTGCTGCTGCACCACTTTAACGTGTTTTTAGATGGGGTTATGATCGAGAATAAGCTTTTTGTGGCCTCTCTGGACTCCCATATATTTGCACTAAGTTTAGTCGGGCACCATTTGCAGTCATCAGTCGACATTTGAAGCAAAAAAGTCAGGTAAAAAAAAAAAAAGCCGCGTCACCGCACCACTTTTTGGACAAGCTCCAAACCAGAAACCGGAAACTTTTTTTTTTGGCCTAAAGGTAGGTAGGGAATATTTTTTTTGCCATTTTTTGTGTACGATCATATGGAGGCGGCTGCGTGCAGTCAAATGTAAAAGGTAGAAATTTATGGTTTTGGGTGTTTTTTTTCTTCTCATTTTCCCATTAAAAAAAATTAGGGTAGGGGCTGTCAGAATAGGGTACGTAGGGAAACCGGAAGCAGAACAGGTTTTTTTTTTTTGGCCTTATTGAACTATTTCTTCAAAAAATTGATATTACTGCTTCGTAGAAAAATAATACAGCTGTCGGTGGGTTCGTTCATGTTCAAAATGAATGCCTTCTTTTTAGAGCCTTGCAGACGCCCAAAATCTACGGAGCTTTTAAAGGGACATAGGTGAAAAAAAAATTGAAAAAATCCATCGTAAGAATGAAAACAAATCTGCGTTCGAACGCAAAAAATCTGCGTTCGAACGCAAAAAATCTGCGTTCGAACGCAAAAAATCTGCGTGCGAACGCAAAAAATCTGCGTTCGAACGCAAAAAATCTGCGTGCGAACGCAAAAAATCTGCGTTCGAACGAAAAAAATCTGCGTTCGAACGAAAAAGCTGTTTGCTGTTTGCTGTAAGCTGTTTGCCCTCCCTGTGCTGCCCCACCACTTATGTGGGTGATTTTTGTGGGTCAAAACATTCTTTGCCCTGAAAACTGTTGTACCAAACATGTAAAACGTATTAATCATGAGCTGACTCATATCATGCTCTTGTAAGTGCAACAGTTTCTCCACATTTAACTGGTTATCCATGGGCCACCAAAAAACATGTCGGGTTAGCCATGGCTATCAGAATAGCCCGACATGTTTGTCGATTGCTATGAGTATTAGTAGGAATCAGCTAATTAGTGAATCCCGTATCTGAAAGTGAGGAAGCAGAAAGTACATGTACATGTACTAGTGTTAGACTAGTAAAATAGCCTTATTGAAAGCCAGAAATGATCAAACAATATATACATGTCAGTCGCTTCTAAAGTTTGGAACTATTACAAGGATTAGGAATGAACATTTATACTGTAAAGGATTTGTGGATAGACAAATTTCTGAAAATCACAATGACGACCAGTTATATTTATTTACCTGAAAAATTTGAAAGATAATTATATAGCCTTTTTTAATTATTTTTTTAAAACTTGCCTCACTTTATAAAAAGAAACCAAAAAGGCAAATTACTTTTTAAAATGTCTCATAAGTGTGTTGCCTCAGCATAGCATAATGGGTGGGACTGATGGGGTGGGGGGGGGGGTGTTGTGTTGTAGCTAGTATTGTAACAGGATAGGGACTCTTAAAAAAAGAAGGACAATTAGCTAGATCTTCATTGCAATGGTTAAACTTCATGACCAACTAACAGCAAGCCCTAGTAAGACCGTTTGAAAGCTCATAGACTGCTTTAAGACCTGTTATTGAAATCCCTGTACTTGGGCCACGGACCTACATTGGGCACATATGTCATGCATGTTGGACCTGAAAAAACGTGACCAAATCACCCACATAAGTGGTGGGGCAGCACAGGGAGGGAAAACAGCTTACAGCAAACAGCTAACAACTTTTTCGTTCGAACGCAGATTTTTTTCGTTCGAACGCAGATTTTTTTCGTTCGAACGCAGATTTTTTTCGTTCGAACGCAGATTTTTTGCGTTCGAACGCAGATTTTTTGCGTTCGAACGCAGATTTTTTGCGTTCGAACGCAGATTTGTTTTCATTCTTACGATGGATTTTTTCAATTTTTTTTTCACCTATGTCCCTTTAAAAGCTCCGTAAAAATCAGAATAAGGCCAAAAATATATATATTCGGTCTCTGGTCAGCCCAAAGATCCGGAATTGACGCGGCCACGCGGCTTTTTTTTTTGGGGGGGGGGCTTTTTTTTTTCTTCAAGCTTGGATTGTACAGACAAGGTGGGGTACTATTTTGCTTTTTTGGTGTCCTCATGTACATTGGTGTCCTCCATAATTTGCCTTGGTGCTTTCGATCATTTGCCTTGGTGCAATTTCCCATTCCTTGGTGCTCTTTGGTAAAAAAAATTGAGGACGTGCGGAAATAGAGGGCGCTGTTGCAGCTACCGCGGAACTTTTTGGGAAAAAAAAGATCGACGCGCATGATTAAAATCGACGCGCGCGCTGACCAGAGACCGACTTATTTTTTTTTTTGGCCTAAAGTATTTTTTTCCTCAGATAGAACAAAACATACACATTAGAAATTCGTGATCCAAGGCCCTCCGTACCGTACCCGTCCGCGGTTGCATGGGTTATTGTTTCGCTCGTACCCCCGCCCTGCAAACAGCATTTCGGGGGGGGGGGGGGGGCTCGGACCATACTTTCAATGGGGGCGGTGTTCAAATTTGACAATTATTAACACAATATTACAAAATAGTTGACAGATACCCCCTAACCAAGCTGGCTCTGTCCGTATTTTGTGTACAGGCGCACATTATTACCAGTATATTTTTGGGGGGGGGGGGGGGTGTCGGAACGGGGGGGGGGGGGGGTTCGGATTATTTTTTAGGAATTTCTATGATTTTTTTTTTGGTCAGAGCTGGGGGGGGGGCTGACTCCCCCCTCCCCCCCCCCCCCGGATCCGCGCCTGCTTTGAGGAAATTACTCCATCTTATTTGGAAATCACTTAAAGTGTACACTTTATCCAGGGTCCCAGGGAGAACCGTTCTTAGCTAACGGCTACCCTGGTAAAATAGATCGATAAATAAATAGTAATAATATAAAAAGAAGGCCTATATCCTCAAGTTCCACACTATCTGAGATGGTTTCAGTCGTGATGATGTACGTCTTTGTATATTATTCGTATAGATTTTGTGATACAACATCATTGTTAAAGGGTTCATGCAAAGATTTTTTTTTCGCAATCTAGGAAAATGTCTCATTATCTTCTCTCTTTTTTTCGTTTTGTCATTTACCTTTCAAATTTTGTGTTTTTTGTCATGCTATTGCGAATTTCTATATTCATGAGCAAACATAATGATGTAAATGTGAGCAGAAACCTCAATGTAAAGCTACAGCACAAGATGCCAGATTTTCCAGTCGTAAATTTTCTTTTCCGTTTGGTGATTCGTTGTACTGTTGATGTGTCAGTACAAAACGAAGAGCAACCTTTCTCACAAATGTTTTCAATGAACAAATTTTGCATTAACAATTTGAGCAATAAACCCTTAAACTGAACAGTGTCTTCCTTAAATGACATCACAGCAACAGCGCCCTCAGGTTTACGGGAAAGCGGGGCACTTTTTAAGTGTTTACATAAGTGCACTTTTCAATACATTGTCATACATTTTAAGAAGAGTAAAAGGTTGCACAAAATGTGTTCTTCAGACTGTATTGCATGAACCCTTTAAAGTGTAAACGGTGGTTTATCTGAGCGCCCGTCATCACCTGGAAGAGCGCCGTCTAGGGTAGGAGTGCGATATAGTTTGGGTAATGGTGTACGGTTGGCGCAGGACTGATTTCGTCTCGAGATTAGGGTGGGGCCAGGTAATGTGCGTGTGTGGGTGACTGAATTTGAATCGGGAGAATAAACGGTCAGGTCGATTCAAGAGACGTTGTAACGTGAAATAAAAGCATTGGCGAAACTAAGTGTGGAGAAATGGGCGCATGGGTCCCTCGCTTGATCCATGTGCGCCCCCTTGCCCCCGATAAAACA